AACTTTAGTTTAAGTGAATGGATCTCCATGAAATTTTACCATAAGGTTCGATACCACGAAAGGAAGGTTGGGATTGATTTTAGGGGTTATGGTACCAACAGTTAAGGAATTAGGGGCCGAAAAGGGGCCAAAAATAAGCATTTTTGTAACTTCCAGACAATAACTTGTGTGTAAGTGTATGGATCTCTCTGACATTGTACCACAAGGTTCCATATCACAAAGGGAAGGCTGTAATTGATTTTGGGGGTAATTGCCTCAAAATTTTAGGAATTAGGGGCCAAAAAAGGGGCAAAAAACAAGCATTTTTCTAGTTTCATGACAATAACTTGTGTGTTAGTGTTTGGATATTTCTGAAATTGTACTACAAGGTTCCATATCACAAAGGGAAAGCTGGAATTGAGTTTGCGGGTAATTGCCCTAAAAGTTTAGGAATTGGGGGCCAAAAAGGGGCCAAAAATAAGCATTTTTCTAGTTTCCAGACAATAACTTGTGTTCAAGTGTATGGATCTCTCTGAAATTGTACTGCAAGGTACCATACCACAAAGGGAAGGCTGGGATTGAGTTTGGGGGTGATGAATCATAAGGGGGTTAAAAAAATTGGGGGGGGGGGGGGGTTTCTTTTTTTTTTCTTTTAAAATTTTCCATTTTAAGTTGGTTATTTCTGATTTATATTTAAAAGCAAATAATAATGATATGGTAGGAGATACACACCAAACAGGATGTGTAAATTATTATATAATAAGTATTGTGCAATAGCAAGAAATTTTCAATTGTACAGTATTGCACAATAGCAAGAAATCTTCAATTGCACAGTATTGCGCAATAGCAAGAAATCTTCAATTGCACAGTATTGCGCAATAGCAAGAAATATCCAATAGCACAATATTGCGCAATAGCAAGAAATTGTCAATTGTACAGTATTGCGCAATAGCAAGAAATATTCAATTGCACAGTATTGTGCAAAAGAAGATACTTCGTATAAATTGCTTATTTCTTGATCAATTTCAATGGGGTTTTATTCTTGAATTCTTGGGGTTCTTTAATATTCTGAATCTAACCGTGTATTAAGTTTTTGGATTTTGGGCCCCATTTTTAAATTGGTCCACATTGAGGTCCAAAGGGTCCAAAATTTAACTTTGTTTGATTTCATCAAAAATTGAATTATTGGGTTTCTTTGATATGCCGAATCTAACCGTGTATTTAGATTCTCAATTTTTGGTTCCGTTTTCAAATTGGTCTACATTAAGGTCCAAAGGGTCCAAAATTAAACTTAGTTTGATTTTAACAAAAATTGAATTTTTAGGGTTCTTTGATATGCTGAATCTAAACATGTATTTAGATTTTTGATTATGGGCCCAGTTTTCAAGTTGGTCCAAATCGGGGTCCAAAATTAAACTTTGTTTGATTTCAACAAAAATTGAATACATGGGGTTCTTTGATATGCTGAATCTAACCATGTATTTAGATTTTTGATTTTTGGGCCCCGTTATCAACTTTGTCCACATTGAGGTCAAAAGGGTCTAAAATAAAACTTTGTTTGATTTCATCAAAAATTGAATTCTTGGGGTTCTTTGATATGCTGAATCTAACCATGTATTTAGATTTTGGATATTGGACCATAAAAGGTGAATGTCCAATTTAAAATTTTTAAGTTCTTAGACCACATTCATTCTGTGTCAGAAACCTATGCTGTGTCAAATATTTAATCACAATCCAAATTCAGAGCTGTATCAAGCTTGAATGTTGTGTCCATACTTGCCCCAACTGTTCAGGGTTCGACCTCTGCGGTCGTATCAAGCTGCGCCCTGTGGAGCATTTTATTTTTAATTGAATTTATTGTCTAAAAGAAATGCACTACAAAATCCCAGGAGATGAATTCTGTAAATGTAGATTCTGTACTTTGGCAACTTCTCTGAATAGTATGCTGGTATCAATTTGTCAAACTGAATAAAAGTAAACATATGTAAAGGATTTACATCTTTTTTTGATAGAAATTCTGTAAAAATATCTTGATTTTGACAATATTTGGCCAAAAAGCATTTTTAAGCAGTCTCCATTTTTATGCCAAAGTGGCATGCTGACTTTCAATCTGATAGGTTTTTATGTTTTGATATTTGTGTTTCTATGCTTTATTCAAGTTTTATTAATCATTTGTGAAAAGTAGATTATCACAGAAAAATGTTGAAAATGTGTTGTATTCATGGTCCTGGTTGAACAGTCAGTTTGATGTATGTGAAATGTAAGGAGCTTTGTACATGTATAAAAATTGAAGTCCATCATAAATATTTTACATAATCTATTAAAAAAGCACTTTACAATGATAAGTGCACCTTAGTCATTTCATATACTACCATTATATTTTCTGTAGGATAGTAAGTGGTTCAAATATATGCCTGTTGAGACTAAAATTGCATGTAAGTTTTCCACTGAAAAGTGATAAAACTGTGCATTAGACCATACTATCTACAAAAAAAGTTGAATGCAAGAGTCCTTTTAAGTAGTTATTTGGTCCATGCAAGAAAGAAAATTGGAGGGGATATTAGTTTGATAAACTTTGTGGAGGGAATATTAGGTCAAATGAAGATGAGAGGGGATATAAGTTTGATGACCTTTGTGGAGGGAATATTAGGTCAAATGAAGAGGAGAGGGGATATAAGTTTGATGAACTTTGTGGAGGGAATATTAGGTTAAATGAAGATGAGAGGGGATATAAAATTGTTGAACTTTGTGGAGGAAATATTAGGTCAAATGAAGATTGGAGGGGATATAAGTTTGATGAACTTTGTGGAGGGAATATTAGGTCTAATGAAGATTGGAGAGGATATAAGTTTGATGAACTTTGTGGAGGGAATATTAGGTCAAATGAAGATTGGAGGGGATACAAGTTTGATGAACTTTGTGGAGGGAATATTAGGTCAAATGAAGATTGAAGGGGATATAAGTTTGATGAACTTTGTGGATGAAATATTAGGTCAAATGAAGATGAGAGGGGATATAAGTTTGATGAACTTTGTGGAGGGAATATTAGGTCAAATGAAGATGAGATGGGATATAAGTTTGATGAACTTTGTGGAGGGAATATTAGGTCAAATGAAGATTGGAGGGGATATAAGGTCTAATGAACTTTGGAGGGGCAAATGAAGTTAGATAGAAGTATTAGGTTTACATCTTGTATCTTGTATAATTCATTACTAAGAGCTAGTAATGATCCTTGATAAAAGACTTGGTTAGTCAAATAAGAAAATCCATTAATTAACCAGTTTGCCCTTCAACATGGGGACCAAGGAAAATAACTCCAACTCAAATTACACCAATTGAAAACTACTAAAATCTATTAGATTTGGAACTCATGAACTTAGACTTCTTGCTTTACTCCTTGAGAACAAGGCTTTTATAAATTTGCCCCTCAGTTACTTCCTTATATTTTACAGAGCCCTGAATACCAGAAAATAAAAAAAAATACAATGACCTTCAAACAATTTTTTTTTAATTGAGGCAAATATATCATGAACATAAAACATAAATAATGCTTAATTATCCACCAATTGATCCATGATCTATACATTATAAATTATCCACCAATTCATCCATGATCTATACATTATTAAGTATCCACCATTCATCCATGATCTATACATTATTAATTATCCACCAATTCATCCATGATCTATACATTATTAAGTATCTACCATTCATCCATGATCTATTCATTATTAATTATCCACCAATGCATCCATGATCTATGCATTATTAATTATCCACCAATTCATCCATGATCTATACATTATTAATTATCCACCAATGCATCCATGATCTATACATTATTAAGTATCCACCATTCATCCATGATCTATACATTATTGATTATCCACCAATTCATCCATGATCTATACATTATTAATTATCCACCAATGCATCCATGATCTATACATTATTAATTATCCACCAATGCATCCATGATCTATGCATTATTAAGTATCTACCAATTCATCCATGATCTATACATTATTAAGTATCCACCATTCATCCATGATCTATAAATTATAAATTATCCACCAATTCATCCATGATCTATGCATTATTAAGTATCCACCATTCATCCATGATCTATACATTATTAATTATCCACCATTCATCCATGATCTATACATTATTAATTATCCACCAATTCATCCATGATCTATACATTATTAAGTATCTACCATTCATCCATGATCTATACATTATTAATTATCCACCAATTCATCCATGATCTATACATTATTAATTATCCACCAATTCATCCATGATCTATACATTATTAATTATCCACCAATTCATCCATGATCTATACATTATTAATTATCCACCAATTCATCCATGATCTATACATTATTAATTATCCACCAATTCATCCATGATCTATGCATTATTGATTAATTAGTATGTGTATATGATGTAAGTGTGCTGTGTATATGTTGATGCTCATTAGTATGTGTATATGATGTAAGTGTGCTATGTACATGTTGATGCTCATTAGTATGTGTATATGGTGTAAGTGTGCTTTGTACATGTTGATGCTCATTAGTATGTGTATATGATGTAAGTGTGCTGTGTACATGTTGATGCTCATTAGTATGTGTATATGATGTAAGTGTGCTATGTACATGTTGATGCTCATTAGTATGTGTATATGATGTAAGTGTGCTGTGTACATATTGATGCTCACTGATGTATGGTTTTCATCAATACACTATTTGAATTTTATAAAAGTCATGTATTGTAACCTAACTGTCCTTCAATTGAGTATGATATACATGTAAACACGACTGATCATTGTACAGTTTATGTTACACAATTGTGTGAATGTCAGGGTAATACAAACTTAACATTCAAATGTTTAATGACAGTTATATAATAATGTCTATTTCAGATATTTATGATAATTGTATAGAATTTTATTTCGTTTTGAGAGAGTTTAAATGATTTATTACCTGGTGAAAAATTCAATATCACAATGGTTTAATACACTGATGGGATTCATATAGCTTTACTTTTTATTAATTGAACAATTATGACTGTGGATGCAGATCTTTCATGATCAATGTCTTTACTGATTACAGTATATATATCTAAGGATGTGATAGCCCACGTCAGGTGACGTCAGTTTGAATCTGTAAACATGTGTGTTGACACACAAAACAGTAAGAAATTGATCAAATAACAAATAAACTTGAATGTTGTAATAAAACATAAGAGATTGTGGTGCAGATCAAGCATCTTGTCGGAAGATAAATAAATCGGTCAATAGTGGAAATATAAAAGGAATTATGTATAATAAAAATTCAAGTATTTAACAGAAGTTAAAAACTTGGCATATAATAATATCTGCTTTCTGTGGTAAGTTTTTAAATATAACTGTTTTGTAAACTTATTGTGTCATCTGCACATTCAAAGAACATGAAAATAGATGAAATTAAATACTTATGCAATATATTCTATGTAACAATCATATTCGGCATGTAAAGAGCTATTTCAATAAACATCTCTATAAAATTTTTATTAAACTGATAATCTACCAATAAATCTGTGGCCTCATGTTTAGTATGCATAAGTTTACCTCTGTAAGTAGGACGTCATGAACCAGAATAAGATGATGGGAAGAAATCAAATGAAACTTAAGTACAAGCTTGATTGAATTTAACAATTTTAACTGTGATTTTACAATTTTAAAAGTTCATTATTTAGGTTGATTGACCGAAGCAGATGTTTTATTTTCTTATTCTTTTTTTTCTGATTTTTGAATTTTGGTGAACAAACAATAAATTGTTTTGACTTTTTTTAGAAATTGTCAAATTGATATAATTACATACATATAACCGAATTCAATGTCCTAGTAACATTTCACAGATAAGATAGCTGACTTTGATAGTTAATTTGTTCAAAGATAGCTCTCATGACGGATGTTTATCCTAGTTGAATAGGATTCAACTGTACTGACCAAATTTAGGAAGGAAAAAAAATTTAGCCCTCATGCATTTATAAGTTAAGTGATGGATATATATCACATGGAACAAAATTATTTGATATGGTAGGGATTTATTGTCTTTTGTGTATCTATCTGTAACTTTATTTTTTTTTCTTTCTGTGTACCAAATAAAAGGTATCTGAGACCACTATTGTTATGGTAATACATGTATATTTATTTGTTTACTGTTATGTTAAAACATTTGTCATACAAAATAGTTTTGGTGAAAATTTTGAAATTGGAGATGACAATTAAATCCTGAACTGGCTCTTTTCTAATAAAATCTGAATTCAAATACAATTCTACAACAACATATTGTTTACATTTCAAAGAAAGCTTTGTACTGTCTAAGATATATATATCCTGTGTTTATACACTTTGTTTGCTCTAATAGCATGGATACAATATAAGAATAGATTTTTTTCCAGGAAAAATAGTATACTGATGTACAGTGTGTAATGTTTTTTTTTTAATTTCCAGGTTCACTACCAGTAAAAATGTGATTCAGATATTTGAATAATGGGTTCTACACCCTATGATACTTATAGAAATATAAAACAAAGGCTAGAAGAAGAGCCAGAGAATATTTCGTGGACATTGCCTCGGAAAGTTTGTATTCTAAAGGTGACAGGAAAATTGGGCATTAAAGTAAAAGTATACGAGGTATGTATTATTATATATATTTGTAATCTAAATAAAAATATATTGAGTGATAAGGTTTCATTTCAGCATTTAAAAATCTGAGGAATCAGGTCTAAATACAAAATTGTACCCTTATTCATAGAGGGGGCAAAATGTAGATATTTGATGTACATTGTATTGTCATAATCAAATGATTGAAAACTTACAACCTGTAACTGTAATTTTAAAGTATTTCAAGTATTAGGAAGACACATTAACTTATTTGGTGATTAAATACTGCATCATCAGGGACATTTCCCCATCTTTTTCTCAACATGTCCTGAAGAAATTTGAAAATTTTAGTTAACTTCTTAAAGAATGTCCTCAGAAAAAGAAATAGACCTGAAGCTCCTGAAATTTTGCTGAATCACTGATGATGGCAATCATTCAACTGAATGGATAATTATTTCATATTTCTATATGAAAATTTAACTCCAGTCTAAAATTTCTGTTTCAATAATTTCAGCTTTAAATTGTTCAATATGATTTTACTGTTAGTTTGCACTAGTTTGTCACCTGTAATTTAGTATGATACTATGTAAATCTTACATAGTACTAGCTTCATATATTAAACTGTACCAAGCATACAGTCAAGCAATATATGTAAAAGTTCTGTAGGTGTTAAATATTTCAGTATCAATGCTACTGTATAAGGAAGCTTGCTACAAAAAAACATTTATGTGTCATTGTATGTCTGATAGGAAAAGAGCTGGTAATCTTAGAGGCAAAAATATCTGATAACAAAAGTGAAAGTTTATAGACGATGTAATCTTGATGATTAAGGTACTTGTATATAGATCCTACAGAAAAAGTATTATACCACAAATAAATTGAAAATGTGTGTTAAAAATTTGAAGTGTTGCTAAAGATTCCTGGTAGGATGCTTAGAGGAATTAAGAAGGTGAATGCATTCCAGCACTTTAAGTATCATTTGATATTTTTTCTTGTGTCATTTACCCCTTTCCCATTATTTTTTTCCACCCTATACCTTACTGAAAACTTGATTTGTGTCAAGGATCTTACCATATACAACATGGTAGATGAATTCTGAATAACTTTTAGTCAGATTATTGTCATGTGAGGAAAGTTCACACATGATTAAGATGATGACTATATTTTGTGCATGAAATGCTTAGGTTAAAGTTTGCATTTAAAGTCCAGATCAAAGCAACTAAATGTAATTGAGGAATGATCTTTTGTCAGTGGATGGATCATGTTTAGAGATGAAGGTCCACAATGAAATAAGGTGACCTTGAAATTCATTTTAGGCATGAATGGCTTTGGATGAGTGTTGTTTTAAAGTCCAAATTTTAGAGGAAAGATGTTTTGTCAGTTAATACATCATGTTTAGTGACAAAGGTCCTTATACAAGTTAGGTGAACTTGACCTTCATCAATGATTTAAATAAAAAATAATAACTCAAGGGAATAGGTGATCTTAATGATGCTTTATTTCTTAATTTTTAATTGCAACTGAACATGAACTCTTCATTATCTCCTTGAATTAAAAATATTTTGGATTGTCTCATTACAGTGTATGTAATTTTAACTTACTCTCATGGACAAAAAATATTTGTTTTGAATATATTTTTATACACATACAAAATAACCATTATTATTACTACCAGTATGATACTGACTCAAAGATAATTATATTAATCCACCATGAATACATGCTTTGAAGAATAATTGAATTACCAGTAGAACTCTAAAATTAAATATTAAATATTATTTCTGTGATAAATAAATCATGACTTGATAATGAATTATGTAAATATTCCTTATAAACAGTGTTACATATTATAAGTACCAAGCCATGTTTGTCTGATTTGCGATTTTTCTACTTAATATTTGATATTTTATTTTGATGATATGAACTTAAATCTATATACACTGGCTAATATTTAAACTCTATTATCTAAAGATTTAAATTGTGTTTACAGACATTGTTCCCTTCCCATTAAATTCTAAGGTATTTTCGTGGGTAGTCAGTGTATTGAACTTCATGTACATATAACATTTACACAAGTTTATTGAACCAAACACTAGGTATTCGGTTAGTTTTTCAGATTAAAAAATCTTATGTAGTGATGTAATTTGATACCAGTGCTCAAATATAATTTAGTTAACTTATACACAGGGACAAGAACTATGGTTTCTTACTTATGTAGGTAGCAAGATTACAGTAAGTTCCTTTTCATATAAAAAAATACATGTCTATGAAGAATTTCTAATATCATTTCTACCTAGAGATTATTTTGATTAAATTAATAAAGATTAAGACTTGGACACAATTATTGATATAATTTTTTAATTAAATAATACAGATAATGGTTTGTTATGGCACTATTGCATAGATTAGAAATGTTCCTCTTTCAAAATGATGAAACGTTATCAGATTATATTCAAATTGAAAATATTATACAGATACTTTAAATAATTTTTTTTCTCATTTCATTGGATAAAGTGTGTTACTCACTTGATCATATCTGGATCCAGGATTATGAAAAAGGGGGGCCCCCCCAAACTAGTCAACATTTGGAGTGAGACATGTAAAAAGTCTATGTGTTAACCATATATGAAGCTCCATATGGGGGCCTGGGCCCCTGTCCCCACCCTCCTAAATCTGCCTTTGTTGATATCATTTACTTATGAACTATAATGTATCAAAAGTGTTGTCACACTGGAATCCTCTTCCTCCCCCTCCTAAAAAAAAAGAAAAGGTTCCAGTAAGGCAAACCTCCACTAAGGTCAAAATGTATGACATAAGGATGTGTTTTAACAGTTTTAATGTAAAAAAAATAAAGGAATAATGTGTGAATTATGAATAAATCTGTAATGCAGCCCTTTTGAGAAAGGTGCTATATTTTAATTATTAAAATATTTTAAAAAATCCTTAGTTATGTTATTTCCCTTAGTTCATCTAATACCAAAAAATAAAGAATCAATACATGTAGATTTACAGTATTTAATCTTGATAAAACTCTTCATAATGCCTTTGTTTTCTAAATTTTTAATCAATGGTAATATTGATAGGTTCTGTCAACAGTAGAAATATGACTTTTATCAGTTTTTCTTTGTGGATGGAGAATGTGATTACATAAAAATGACGTTTCAGAAGATTTGTACATAACGGAAGTAAAGGGATGCTTTAATTGTAGTTCATGATAACAAGAAATACTACTTATAAGCAGAGTGATGGTTGTAAACAAATAGTGATATCTCAAATTGAATATATATAATGTTTTATTTTCCAGAGTAAAATATGTGATAAGACCTATGCAATTGTGACAAGGGTGAAAGACGAATGTCGGCTGATACAGGGACACAATTTGGCTGAATATGAACGAATTATTTCCATAAACAACACCAATATTGAGACTTATACAGAAGACTGTGTTCTTCACCTGTTACAAACTCATCAACCTGATGTAGAACTTCTTGTGTGTCGTTTAGACTTGAAAAGGTATCGTGACCCATCTGGATCTTATACAAGTGAAATGTCTGGTCGGCCTTCAATAAAGATCAAGCAAGTCAAACCTGAAGAAAGTACAAACCAAATAATTTCTGCAGAATCATTACTCGATTCGCTTGTTCCAGGACATTTTTTAGAAGATAGAAATATTTCTGTACCTGTTATTAATTCTCCGAGTGAGATGATGTATAACCCAGAACCATGTACCTGTAATTCTCTAGATTCAGCAACCAGGAAACCAAAACCAAATATTAACCCACAGGGTAATACAGAAATCTATATAAAATATCCCCACTGTGTCAAGTGGTCATCAACTAAAACAATAACACTCGATAGAGGCAACAAGCAGAACTTTGGATTTAAATACAAAATTAAACAGTGTACTTACGTAAGTTTACAGAATAATAATTAAAATTCTTTCTCACTGTTAATGGTGCCTAAAGTGATGGCTCTGATACAGAGACTTTATAATGTTTTTAGAGTTGCCTGGGTCCACACAAATTAAGAGGTTCATGCCCCATAGCCTGTTTTTATACGCCCGTTTACAGGACATATTATGGTATACCGTTGTCCGACCGTCTGTCCATCCGTCCGTGTCAACATGTCGGACAATTACTCAAAAACGATTTATCCAGTTTGCATGAAACTTTGGTGAATTGTTTATATTTATTGACGTGAGCTCCCTTTCGATTTTTATAAATTTTGGATTTTACTTTTCCGAGTTATGGGGTTTTATTCATTAAAAAAGGGGGATTTTCCAATTTTCTGACAATAACTCAAAAATGCTTTGAGCAGTTTTCATGAAACTTTGGTGAATTGTTTATATCTATTGATGTGAGCTCCCTTTCAATTTTTATAAATTTTAGATTTTACGTTTCCGAGTTACAGGGTTTTATTCATTGAAAAAGGGTGATTTTCCAGTTTTTGGACAATAACTCTAAATTGCTTTGCACAGTTTTCATGAAACTTTGGTGAATTGTTCATATCTATTAACGTGAGCTCCCTTTTAATTTTTATAAATTTTAGATTTTACGTTTCTGAGTTATGGGGTTTTATTCATTAAAAAAGGGGATTTTCCAGTTTTCAGTTATGGGGTTTTATTCATTAAAAAAGGGGGATTTTCCAGTTTTCGGACAATAACTCAAAAGTTCTTTGAGCAGTTTTCATGAAAAATTGGTGACGGGTTTATATCTATTAAAATAACCTCCCTTTAGTTTTTTATAAATTTCTGATATGACATTGAGGAGTAATGGAACTTTTTTCTTTGAAAAAGCGACAGCCTTATCATGCGCTTATGGCGCAGCTCTTTATTTTATTTTACAAAAAGTAGAAAATATGTTCTCTCAATAGCTGCCTTGCTCTTTGAAGATAATACAATATATTTTTAGGTTTATTAATTTGACAAATTCTGTATCATATTTTAATGAATACCTCGATCAGATTCTCAAAAAAATGGAATATGTATTTCCATTTATTTGGTCTGCATTTTAGGTAGATACATATGTATTTATGTATATTAAGTGCCTCCTTAACTATGACCTAATTACTACAGCTGACTGACACTGATAAGATAATTTATCACAAGTTGAAGAATTTGCTACTGCTTATTACTATAGTTTGTTTGGAATACTTTTATAATGATATATCAAATCACTGGTTGCCACATAGTAAATACAGGATTTAGATCATGTTATTTCAAAGGAATGACTTAGTTGTAATTTCTTTGCCTTGTTTCGAATTGAGATAATTTAGGCGATTCTCTTTGACATGTTCAGGTATTAAGGTCAACTTTTCTTACTGTGATATTATATTGACAGAAAATAAATGTCATCCACATGAATTCATCTTTGTGTAGTTAAATATGTTTATTATATTGCTAAGGATGTTGTACTTGAAATAGTCAAGCCAATGTTAACCTTATCAATCCTAAAAGCCTATGTGTTGTGATTTATTTCATCAATATTCATTGTAAATATTGTTTCATTGGATAGTTTCTAGGTAAAAATTCCCTTTATCATGACTTTTATATCTAAAACTACAGTTTATTGAAAAACTTGCAGATTTAATTAAAATTTGGATCCAACATTTAACATAGAAACACCAGTAAATTGTAATATTATTGATTAATATATGCATCGTGCCCTATTTTTTGTTTGTCAGTTTCAAATACAAGGTATATATTGAATGTTATAGAAAGATAACTGCTTTCAGTAACTTCTAGGGGGTGTTTGAAGATTTTGTAGATATTTTTTTAATCCTGATTTTGAAATAAATATCAAAAAGGCTAATCTTTGCCAGATGAGCAATATTGGTTCTATTCTTGATTATGTATTCTTGTAAGGGTTTGTTGTCATGCATTTTTATAGTTGTATTATATTTTCTACGTAGGAAGGGTGCACTATGTTTTCTGGTCTTTTTGTCCATCTGTTTGTCCGTCAATCCAGTATCAAGTAAATGTTTTGGTTGAAGGTAGTTTATCCTTAGGCTGTGGACACATCAATTTGAAACTTAGTGCACATATGTTCATTGTGGTGTGAACTTCTTAAAATATATACCATACTAGGGTTTTGACCTAGATTTCACAGTTCACTTAACTTTGAAATATGATATTGTCTAATTCTGATTTTGGGTGGGTGTCATACTCATAGATATATATGAGTGTATTTTGGTAACAGTTGGATGTCTTGCTGTTGTGTGGTAATTCTATAGTATTGGTGATTTATCATGCATTTTTATGGTCAAATTTTGAACTGTTTAATATGGTTTCCTGTCTACCTTTGTATACCCCTAATTGAAGAAGGAGTATATAGTGATGTACATGTCCATCCCTTACAAGTTTGGTTTCCAGATTATAATTAAAGAACAACTTGCCTAAATGTTTAAAATTTTAACAAAATATCATAGAGCATAAAATATAGTTCAAGTCTGATATTTATAGTTTTGACATTTACTGTTCAAGAGTTGAGTAATGCCAGTAGTTACCTTGAAAGGTGATTTTTATACAACCGCAAAAAATTTTGTGAAGACACATTGGTTTTCGCACAATAACTTTAGTTTAAGTGAATGGATCTCTATGAAATTTTACCATAAGGTTCAATACCACAAAAGAAAGGTTGGGATTGATTTTAGGGGTTATGGTACCAACAGTTAAGGAATTAGGGGCCAAAAAGGGGCAAAAAATAAGCAGTTTTGTAACTTCCAGACAATAATTTGTGTGTTAGTGTATGGATCTCTCTGACATTGTACCACAAGGTTCCATATCACAAAGGGAATGCTGGGATTGATTTTGGAGGTAATTGCCTCAAAATTTTAGGAATTAGGGGCAAAAAAAGGGGCAAAAAACAAGCATTTTTCGAGTTTCATGACAATAACTTGTGTGTAAGTGAATGGATCTTTCTGAAATTGTATTACAAGGTTCCATGTCACAAAGGGAAAGCTGAAATTGAGTTTGGGGGTAATTGCCCAAAACGTTTAGGAATAAGGGGCCAAAAATAAGCATTTTTCTAGTTTCCAGACAATAACTTGTGTTCAAGTGTATGGATCTCACTGAAATTGTACTGCAAGGTACCATACCACAAAGGAAAGGCTGGGATTGATTTTGGGGGTAATTGCCTTTAAATTTTAGGAATTAGGGGCCAAAAAGGGGCAAAAAACAAGCATTTTTCGAGTTTCCGGACAATTACTTGTGTGTAAGTGTATGGATCTTTATGAAATTGCACTACAAGGTTCCATATCACAAAGGGAAAGCTGGGTTTGAGTTTGGGGGTAATTGCCCAATGTTTAGGAATTTGGGGCCACAAAGGGGCCAAAAAACAAACATTTTTACAATTTCCAGACAATAACTTGTGTTCAAGTGTATGGATCTCTCTGAAATTGTACTGCAAGGTACCATACCACAAAGGGAAGGCTGGGATTGAGTTTGGGGGTTATGAATCATAAGGGGGTTCAAAAAATTTGGGGGGGGGGGGATGTTTTTTTCCTTTTTTTTTTTTTTTTTTTTTTTTTTCTCTTAAACTTTTCCATTTTAAGTTGGTTATTTTTGATTTATATATAAAAGCAAATAATAATGATATGGTTTGATTTCATCAAAAATTGAAATATTGGGGTTCTTTGATATGCTGAATCTAACCGTGTATTTAGATTCTTAAATTTTGGTCCTGTTTTCAAATTGGTCTACATTAAGGTTCAAAGGGTCCAAAATTAAACTTAGTTTGATTTTAACAAAAATTGAATTCTTGGGGTTCTTTGATATGCTGAATCTAACTGTGTATGTATTAAGATTTTGGATATTGGACCATAATAGGTAAATTAAAAAATTTTGAGTTCTTAGACCACAATCATTCTGTGTCAGAAACCTATGCTGTGTCAAATATTTAATTACAATCCAAATTCAGAGCTGTATCAAGCTTGAATGTTGTGTCCATATTTGCCCCAACTGTTCAGGGTTCGACCTCTGCGGTTGTATCAAGCTGCGCCCAGCGGAGCATTTTATTTTAATATCAGTATCATAATTAGTGTACATTTTTGCCCAAATCTTAAAATTTGATCACAAAATCATGGATCATAAAAAAAGTCTAGTTTGTTTTGATGGATTTTACATTTACTGTTCGAGAGCTATTCCCTTTAGTTACCTTAACATTTTTTTCCCCAGGTTATAATGAAGTCTTTTTAGATTTAAACACTGTTATGAAACATGAAATACAGGTCATATTCCCTTTGAATTTGCATTTACCTCAGAAGGGTTTTTATGCAGGCTGAGGTATCTTTATTTTTGATCACAGTACCAGGGTGTCTTATTCTAGTTTTCTCTTGTAATTCTTTAACTGAATTCTCATATGCTGTATGATTTTTTTTTCGTACATATATAAAAATGAGGAGATGGGGTATGATTGTCAATGAGACTATGCTGCCTTGACATACAATGGAGATATGAGGGTATGAAATCCTTATATTAGGTTATTGACTTACCAAGTATGCCACCATTTAAGGGTGAGGTCATATTCCTATATTATTGGAAATATCATGCATACATTTTTATTTTGATATGTAATTTTGTTTTTCAATAAATTTAATACTTTTATAAGATAAGAAATATATGTAAATTATTATGGGATGCAACGTTTTCATTGTAGAAGTAATGTACAAAATGATAACCATAGTATAGAAATATATATTATCTTTTTAGCGACAAGATGATTGGTACACACTTGTTGTAGAAGTGAAGGATACCCCTGCAGAAGGCAAGCTGATGATTGGTGATTACATCAGATCTATAAATGGCCAGGCTTTGGCAACACCACATGAGGTTTGCTCTTGTTTTATAACTTTTTAATAGTTCATTGTTTTGCTTAGAGGGTGAGGAACATGACCAGCCACTTTAATAGTTCATTGCCTTGCTTAGAGGGTGAGGAACATGACCAGCCACTTTAATAGTTCATTGCCTTGCTTAGAGGGTGAGGAACATGACCAGCCACTTTAATAGTTCATTGCCTTGCTTTGAGGGTGAGGAACGTGACCAGCCACTTTAATAGTTCATTGCCTTGCTTAGAGGGTGAGGAACATTACCAACCACTTTAATAGTTCATTGCCTTGCTTAGAGGGCGAGGAACATTACCAGCCACTTTAATAGTTCATTGCCTTGCTTAGAGGGTGAGGAACATGACCAGCCACTTTAATAGTTCATTGCCTTGCTTTGAGGGTGAGGAACATGACCAGCCACTTTAATAGTTCATTGCCTTGCTTTGAGGGTGAGGAACATGACCAGCCACTTTAATAGTTCATTGCCTTGCTTAGAGGGTGAGGAACATGACCAGCCACTTTAATAGTTCATTGCCTTGCTTAGAGGGTGAGGAACATGACCAGCCACTTTAATAGTTCATTGCCTTGCTTAGAGGGTGAGGAACATGATCAGCCACTTTAATAGTTCATTGCCTTGCTTTGAGGGCAAGGAACATGACCAGCCACTTTAATAGTTCATTGTCTTGCTTTGAGGGCAAGGAACATGACCAGCCACGTTCAATCAGAAAGGGAATGTTGAATCTGATGCCTTGTGAAGGGAGTGTCACACTTAATTTTTGCAGTATTTTGGGTAAAATTTACTGGGATTGATATTTTTGTCGAATTATTCATAAAAATGCATTTGATAATCAATATCAATACTTTTCTTATAATTTCTAAAACAAAAAACAAGACAACCATAAGTACTAACTTAAGAAACAGAACAAAAAGAAAAGAAACAAAGTACCATGGGAATTTGTAAAATAAGAAATGAAACAGTTTCATATTTTCTTGTTTCATGTCATTCTTTTCTGATTAGTTTCTTGTAATATCATCACCTCACCTGATTAAATTACAAAAACACTGAGTTTTAAGGCTTTTTGATTACAGATTTTCAAACATTTTTGGAAAACATACCCAAATGCTGATTGACTATCTGAAATATGTTAGGCATTGTATAACAATCAGTTATTTTACCAGGATTTAATTTTATTTCATTTGCTTATTGTGGTGATTGTTACTTTGTAGGCATTCAAAATGATGGATAAATTGGAGGATTCAATAACAGCCAAGATTGTTTTGCAGCGACCAGAAGATGTTGTTGAAGATTTCAGGGGCAAAATACAACAAGCCAAAGATATTTGCAGTGCAAAGCAGATAAATCCTGCGATTAATGAACCTGAAAACAGGAAACCAATGAGACAAAATAGTTCCACATCACAGAAATCCACTGGTTCAGGAAAACTGTTCCCCGGTGAACAAAAACTGATGGCAGTGCATCCTTCTAAAACTGAGGCAGCTAAAACTGGCTTGAAATATAAACAAGCTGATAACAATACTCTAGTGTCGGGATTATTTAATGTTGTTAGACCTGGATCTAGTTGTTCAAATTCTAACGAGTCCCATATGAACTTTTTAGAAAATGAAAAACTTGTTGATAACTCAGAAGTTCATTTAATTGTGCCAGAACCACCAGTATTAAACAATAACAATCAAATTTTGTCAGAGTTTCAATCAAATCGGATAGTAAAACTACCGAAAATTAGGATATTTATATGTGGCAATGAGGCAAGAGCATTAGCCAAATTATTAGTGCCGTCAAGTTTTTTAAAGACAGACACTAGCAGTGCACATTGTTTGTATGAATGTGTTAAATGTACAATGGACATGAGTAAAGCTGGGGATGTTAGTTTTATGCCTTGGTCATCATATGACAATTTGTTACAGTCAGAGGAAACTACAAGGTTAGTACCATTACTACTATTTATATATAGGAAAATAGACTCATACTGATTTTTTGAATTGTTCATTGGTAGCAAAACAAAATTGCACTGAAGAACTTTATTTCCACTTACCATGTACACTAAATATCAATCTTGTATCACATTTTACATTTCCTGTCTGTGAAATTAAGATTATATAACTTATTTATCTATTCACAAGGAAACACTTCATAAAAAATGAAGAAGGAAAGCTAGTAATAAAAAAACAACTATGCCATAAAAATTATATGTATATTTATGAAATTTACATATTATAAGTGTTGATCATATATACTGGTATTACCAATACTAATATACAAACTGATAAAGATAGCAGAAATTTAAGACCAGTACATGTTTAGACTGTAAAAGATCATTGATATTTCTGTAATATTCTAAAGAAAAAAACCTTGATATTATTATCATAATATTTCAGTACTTTAGTCTATAAAATAAAGCTTTGATCAACATCATTTTCGTAACCTTATCTAAATTTCATGGTTTAGTGACTTATTTTTCCCCAGCAACTAATGATGATGTAACAATATTTAAATATTACATTTCCTTTACAATAAAATTTTATATCAATTTGGCCACTTTGATCAACATTGAAATATTAAATGGCTTTGGTTAAAGTTGTTACTCTATTAATTACAGTTCACCTTTAAGTAACATTGGCAATTTGTGTTTTTTTGTAGCAAAAATCTTCCTTTTTGTCTCGCCTATGACGAAAGTCGCAGTATGCGAGACATACAAATGAAGGTATTACTATCCGGCGGCGTAAACTATTTGTATAAAGCTTTATATTTCAGAAGGTAGAAGACCTGGATGCTTCATACCTTGTATGCAGATACCTTATGTTACGAAGTTTCCGTCTGTCATATACCTGTTGTCCTTGACCTCATTTTCATGGTTCAGCAGTTGCTTGAAAAAAAATTACAGTTTTTTTATCATGTGAACTTCTCACTTATTATGAGTAATGGGATAACTATATTTGGTATATATATATGGGTTCCTTGCAACGTCTACATGTCTGTCAGACAGGGTTGACCTGACCTCAACCTCAATTCATGGATCAGTGATCAAAGTCAAAGTTACGTTTCTCAGATACTACAAGCAGAAGGTCAACTATATGTGGTGTATGGAATGAATGTAAGAGGTACATGTCAGACTGGCAGGTTTCATCTGACCTTGACCTCATTTTCATGGTTCATTGGTCATTGTTAATTTTTTGTGTTTTAGTCTGTTTTCCAAGTACTGTAAGCAATAAGTCAACTATATTTGGTGTATGGAATGATTGTAAGGTGTACATATCTGTCTAGCTGGTGTCATCTGACCTTGACCTCATTTTCATAGTTCATTGGTCAATGTTAAGTTTTTGTGTTTTGATCTGTTTTCCAAGTACTATAAGCAAAAGGTCATCTATTTTTGGTTTAGGGAATGATTGTAAGGTGTACATGTCTGTCTAGCCAGTGTCATCTGACCTTGACCTCATTTTCATGGTTCATTGGTCAATGTTAAGTTTTTGTTTTTTGGAAAATGACGCAGTCAATTTTCCTATACCGCTGACCAGAAGTCATTTACCGCTTCCAAGTCGCTTTCTGAACTCGGTTCCGTATTTTACATACTTATTCATTCTTAACCTGTCCATATGTTTATTGTTATTAAATGGTATTTTGAGCTATCCCTTTGGTATATTTTTCATATTTATACGAGCTTTCGCTTTTGCGTGCATGTCTTTACAATCCGTAAAAAAATCAGAATATAAATAGATCCGTTTTGTTATGGTTTTGGACTTTTTACATACCAATGATAACCAATCGCTAGACAAAACAGTTCTTGAAAGAATGTCAACCTTTCTTGTCAGTTGAACTTTAAAATCATTAAAAAAATAATAATTGGAATCATCTTGATATCCATACTCTTGATATCCACACGAAAGATAATGCTCTTTATCAAGATTTACGAAGTTTTTAAGAATCGAAAATTAGTAATATGGTTATACCCACGCGGTGCATTTGTATTTTGTTTACAAAGTTATAGCTGCAGACAGTTGAAGGGCAAACGCCTGAATCTGACAGATGAAGGTCAATCTGTTGACACAAAAACTACCTGTACCTAAAATATTCACGCCCATAAACAGCTCCACCTATATAATTTTTTTTTCGTCTTTGAGAACGATGTTCTGTTCTGTTTGAAATTAAAACATTAAATTAATTAACTTAAACATAAAATAGTAAGTGTAGAAAACAAATTAAAAGATATATTTTTACATGACTGATTATGCATATGCTGGCAATGTGCGCAATGTCCTTTAATCCAAGATTGAAAATAAGTTTGTTTCCTACGTCAAAATGGCGGTTTTCAATGTTTACATTTTTTCCATCAAAAAAAAAGTTGACACAATTGCGTGTCCGGCCATGAATATGCAAATTATTTATTATTTCGGGTAGCTTATTCAATTACATTTACTGATATAGAAGTGGCTATACGTTACCATCCATCGTTACAAAAGTAGGATGTGTTTGGTGTGTACATCTCTGGAATGATGTGTATTCAATTTTTTACGGTAAAAATCAATGTTATCTTCATTATATTTCCATGCAAACACAAGTCATAATGACAAATAATTGTTTATAAAACTTATAATGTAAACAGACATGTTTAACCATCTGTCTTAGCAAAAATTCGTGTAAATAAAGCTGATGGGTTGTTTTATAATTTAAGCACAGCAGACAAACACGTGGTTGTTCATTGATGTTTGTTTACTTAAAATGCAGGTTGTTGTTACTTCATACCTAGAAATAACCACTATTTTGTTATTATTGTTTAACAGCAGATATAATTAGCATTTACAAAGGGATTGTATTGCTTTCAGAGTTATATAATATACCTTGCCTAAGAAATAGGTCTAGCTAGGTCCTTATAAAAAAAATGAGGTTATAATGATGTAAATTACCATATTTACATTACAGCTGCATTTTTATACGACTGCAAAAAATGTATATTGGTATGACGTTGGCGTTGTCGTCGTCGTCGTCATTGTCATTGTCCGAAGACACATTGGTTTTCGCACAATAACTTTAGTTTAAGTGAATGGATCTCTAAGAAATTTTACCATAAGGTTCAATACCACAAAAGGAAGGTTGGGATTGATTTTGGGGGTTATTGTACCAACAGTTAAGGAATTAGAGGCCAAAAAGGGGCCAAAAATAAGCAGTTTTGTAACTTCCAGACAATAATTGTGTGTTAGTGTATGGATCTCTCTGACATTGTACCACAAGGTTCCATATCACAAAGGGAATGCTAGGATTGATTTTGGTGGTAATTGCCTCAAAATTTTAGGAATTAGGGGCCAAAAAAGGGGCAAAAAACAAGCATTTTTCTAGTTTCATGACAATAACTTGTGTGTAAGTGTATGGATCTTTATGAAATTGTACTACAAGGTTCCATATCACAAAGGGAAAGCTGGAATTGAGTTTTGGGGGTAATTGCCCAAAACGTTTAGGAATTAGGGACCAAAAAGGGGCTAAGAATAAGCATTTTTCTAGTTTCCAGACAATAATTTGTGTTCGAGTGTATGGATCCCTCTGAAATTGTACTGCAAGGTACCATACCACAAAGGGAAAGCTGGGTTTGAGTTTGGGGGAAATTGCCCTAAATGTTTAGGAATTTGGGGCCAAAAAGGGGCCAAAAAACAAGCATTTTTACAGTTTCCAGACAATAACTTGTGTTCAAGTGTATGGATCTCTCTGAAATTGTACTGCAAGGTACCATACCTCAAAGGGAAGGCTGGGATTGAGTTTGGGGGTGATGAATCATAAGGGGGTTTAAAAAATTTGGGGGGGGGGATTTTTTTTTTTCTTTTAAATTTTCCATTTTAAGTTGGTTATTTTTTATTTATATATAAAAGCAAATAATAATGATATGGTTTGATTTCATCAAAAATTGAAATATTGGGGTTCTTTGATATGCTGAATTTAACCGTGTATTTAGATTCGTAATTTTTATATGCACGTTTACGGGATGTATTATGGTATACCGTTGCCCGTCTGTCCGTCCGTCCGTCTGTCCGTCCATCCGTCGTCAACATGCCGGACATTAACTCAAAAAAGCTTTAACCAATATGCATGAAACTTTGGTGAATTGTTTATATCTATTGACGTGAGCTCCCTTTCATTTTTAATAAATTTCAGATTTACCGTTTCCGAGTTTTGGGGTTTTATTCATTAAAAAAGGGGGGATTTTCCAGTTTTCCGACAATAACTCAAGAATGCTTTCACCAACTTGCAAGAAATTTTGGTGAATTGTTTATATCTATTTACATGAGCTCCCTTTTGGATTTTTATAAATTTTAGATTTAACGTTTCCGAGTTACAGGGTTTTATTCATGAAAAAGGGGGATTTTCCAGTTTTCGGACAATAAGTAAAAAATGCTTTCAGCAGTTCTCATGAAACTTTGGTGAATTGTTTATATCTGTTAATGTAAGCTCCCTTTAGAATTTTATAAATTTTAGATTTTACATTTCTGAGTTATGGGGTTTTATTCATGAAGAAAGGGGGAATTTTCCAGTTTTTGGACAATAACTCAAAAATGCTTTCAGCAGTTCTCATGAAACTTTGGTGAATTATTTATAGCTATTGATGTAATCTCCCTATTGATTTTCATAAATTTCAAATATGAAATTGAGAAGAAATTGAACTTTATTTATTTATAGTCTGACAACAGATTTTCTAAGTATTGCGCAACAGCACAGTGTATTGCATAACAGCAAGAAATCTTTACTTGAATATTTAATCACATTCCAAATTCAGAGCTGTATCAAGCTTGAATGTTGTGTCCATACTTGCCCCAACTGTTCAGGGTTTGACCTCTGCGGTCGTATCAAGCTGCCCCCAGCGGAGCATTTTATTTGCATTTAATATATATCATACATGTACATAAGAGAACAACAGATTAAATGCACATGGGTTTAATTACTATCCTAGGCATTAATTTTAATAGGTGGCAGCAAATAGGGCAGATTGTCCCCACATCTACTCTGTTGTTCCTAAGTCTCAAAATTCTGCTTGCCCTGGCTAAGTCCTCAACATCTTTCTTGTCTTGAGTATAGATCAGCAGCTCCTCTATTAAGGATTAGTAATGGAGCACTTTATATATAGTCCAGTGGTTTAGTCCTGTGTTTTTTGTCGCTCTTATTTTTATGCCCTTGCCGTAGCGGAGCGGGCATTAAGTTTTACCCTTGTCTGTCTGTAAGTCCGTACGTCCCAAAATTGGTTTCCATTCTCTAACTTTAGTTTTCCTGAACCAAATGTTATGAAACTTAAACACAATGCTTATTACCACTAAACATAAAGCAAGTTTGAATTTGGTGGCGTCACTTTTATCGTTCTAGAGTTATGCCCCTTTACAAATGGAAAAATTGCTGAATTTTTCGTTTCCGTTCTCTAACTTTGGTTTGCCTCAACCAAATGTTATGAAACTTTACACAATGCTTATTACCACTATACACAGATCAAGTTTGAAATTTGGTTGCGTCACTTTTACCTTTCTAGAGCAATGCCCCATTATATTACAAATGGAAAAATTGCTGCATTTTTCGTTTCCGTTCTTTAACTTTAGTTAGCCTCAACCAAATGCTATGAAACTTATACACAATGCTTTTTACAACAAAACACAGATCAAGTATGAATTTTGGTAGCGTTACTTTTACCTTTCTAGAGTTATGTCCCTTTACAAATGGAAAAATTGCTGAAATTTTTGTTTCCGTTCTCAAACTTAAGTTTCCCTCAACCAAATGTTATGAACTTATGTGCAATGCTTATTACCACAAAACACAGATCAAAAAGTTTGAATTTTGGTGGCCTCACTTTTACTGTTCTAGAGTTATGCCCCTATTACAAATGGAAAAATTGCCAAATCCTCGTTTTTATGCCCCACCTGCGATAGTTGTAGGGGCATTATGTTTTCTGATCTGTGCGTCCGTTCGTTCGTCCATCTGTTCGTCCGTCTGTCCCGCTTCAGGTTAAAGTTTTTGGTCAAGGTAGTTTTTGATGAAGTTGAAGTCCAATCAACTTGAAACTTAGTACACATGTTCTCTATCAAATGATCTTTCTAATTTTAATACCAAATTAGAGTTTTGACCCCAATTTCACGGTCCACTGAACTTAGAAAATGATAGCGCAAGTGGGACATCCGTGTACTATGGACACATTCTTGTTATTCTCTAATTTAAGTTTGCCTCTACCAAATGTTATGAAAACTTATACACAATGCTTATTACCACAAAACTCAGATCAAGTACAAATTTGAGTAGTGTCACTTTTACCGTTCTTGAGTTATAGCCCTTTATAAGGTTATATGCAAGCAAGGGCATCATCTATGTCCTATGGACACATTCCCCATTTATCTTATTTATATTATTATTATCATATTTCTTATATTTTCTTGTAAGCCACCAAGCCACAACTCCTCTTTTTCCTATGGTGCCTGAAAACAATGAACCAGTTTTGTTGATTATTGAGGTCTGTAAAGTGACTTATAACTGCCAACAGCCACATTATTTGGACTCTGGTGGATAGTTATCAGACTGTTATCTCATAGGCAATCATACCACATCTCCTTATTTTAGTACGGGTTAATTATTTGAAATAAATGACTAACAAACATTACATTTTGTAAATCATTTGAAAAAAAAAAATTCTGCAATAATTTATGTTGTCATTTTAAGATTTCAGTTTATATATATATCAACAATGAAATTTGGTTGTATAAATGGTGTCACTATGTTTGTAATTGTCAAACTAGTATAACAATACTATTGTCTAAATCTACAGAAATGGATCATGCTTCAAGTAACAGAAATAACAATGTCACTAGGTCACTTAAATAAGGACTATGTGGGGTATAAGAGCTTGCTTACTACAGGCTCTTCATAATCATTTTGTTAAATAATTCTACAAAGAAGGGGATAGTCTGTTAATGTATCCTTGACTAAGAATAATGAAATTGCAAGAAACAAATTCACATATTACTTTGAATATTGTAGATCGTTCAGGTAGTCTTGAGCTATATCTTTGTACAAAAGAACAACCAGTAGTCATCTTCACTTCACACATATATTATCTTGACAAACAAATAAAACAGCCATAGACATTAAAAAAAAATTATATCTATTCTATTGTCAGTCAGCCTACGGTACCTACCATGAACTGAAAAGTCTCCTAAGATTCAGTAGGTAAATTATGTGAAAATCAAGACTTGCATAAAAAATATCCCAATATTAGAGACTATGGCGTCATTTTTCTCAGAGCTTTCAGCTCTTTGATTTCGGTTTGTTTTTCAAATACTAATAGCAATAAGTCAACTATAATTGGTGTATGGAATGATTGTAATGTGAACATGTCTGTCTAGCGGGTACATGTATCATCTGACCTTGTCCTCATTATCATGGTTCATTGTTAAAGTTAAAGTTTTTGTGGTTTGGTCTGTTTTTCAATTACCATAAGCAATGGTCAACTATAAATTATTTGGTGTATGGAATAATTGTAAGGTGTACATGTCTGTGTGACAGTTTTTATCTGACCTTGACCTCATTGTCATGGATCTTTAAAAATGTTAAGTTTATGTCATACTTGTAGAAAAACCTTTATCTTAAAGACTTGTAACATAGTCAGTAAAACAGGCGAGACATTTCAGAATGTGCACTCTTGTTTCTAACTTTTATATTATCTTGATGGATATTATTGTTTAATGTTCAGTGGCAACTATCACATACATATCAGGAATAGATGTTATTTGAATATGTACTCTGGTTTGTACTAAACTGACACACTAAGCCAAATAATTTTTCTGAATTTCTTGGAACATTGTTTATTCCCCGGTAAGAAAGTTTTCAAACTAAGTTATTGATGTTTCAGTACACATATATATCATGTAAAATAATGTGTGAATATTGAAATCTTTCAGGTTACATGCTAGTAATGACTCTCTGGTCAATGGGGAGGTAAACAAACAAAGAGAAGAGGATTATTTACATAGAGGTGTTGTCAATACAGAAATATTCATTGTGCCAGATGAGAAACTATTTCAATACGGATGCCATTACTTATTTACAAGGACAAGTTTATTTTTGCTGACATTTAATGGTGCCAAAGTTTTAAATTCTGCTGCAGGAGAAATTCTACGGTTACAAAATTTGATCCATACTATAAGATGTTGTGTGGGGTATGATAGCAATATCTTTACATATGGTCTTTTGAACAGTGAACAAGCTGATTTCAAAGACGAGGTTCAAACTTTATTTTATACATCCTACGGTCAACAGATACGCAAATATAGTGTGACGATTCCTGATTTAATTATATCTGACGAAAATTCTAATCAGATTCCATCCAAAATATTGAAAAAGAATGTATGGAAAGCTGTAAGTGAAACAATTCAGAAACAACCTGTGTCTATTCTCTCTGTTGTTATGATGGCACAACTTGAAAGGCTGCGCCAAGAAGGAAAACAAATAATAACAGAAGAAGAATTCACAAAAATGTTCAAAATGGCTGTACCAAATGGTGAACCTAGTCTACAACATGTTGTATGGACTACCTTGAAGGAGTTTGGTGAATTACTCTCTCCAAGTAGGTCATATATACTCCAATGTTAGAAAAACTTTTTATTACAATGCATTTCTTCAGCAAAATTCTTTTTTCTTTTACATTTTTAAAACATGCTTACTCTTATTTATAGTAAAATTAAACAGTTAGGTTATTCTACTACATGAAATAAATGATAAGATGCTCTTCAATTTTGGTAATTACAAAAAGAAATGTGACACTGCCAAGTATGCATTATACTATGGTCACAGTATAGTAAGGTCTAAAGCTATTAAAGTTGTTTGTTTTTTTTTTCTTTTTTGGATGTTACATTATGTTATGAAAGTCATGCATTTTGTATTTGTACATTTAACAAGCATATAGTATTTAATACCCAGTAACATTTTGTAGTTGAATCAATTAATCATGTTCTAATTGAGAACTGAAATGAGTGAATAGACTGCAGTGTGCAATGGTAAAATTAATTCATACCTGCAACTTTTCAAAGTCTCCATGGACATTTTTAATTTAATCTCTAAATTGTCTTTCCAGAAGCAGCACCTTTAAATTTACCCAACAACCAGCAAATGGAGAAGTTGCTATTTATAGATCCCGAGATAATACTTCAGCATGTCCAAGGCTTGGTTTGTATACCACAAAGACATTCCTCAAGCAGTGATATCACCAAACACTGGATTAAACTTGTTGCTACTGGAAACATATCAAAAGAAGACCTTTTGTCAATCATAAGTTCTCAATCGATTAATGCAGAGAAGATATTGAATCTTATGTTAGCATTTGGCATGATTTTCAAACATTTTATTGATCAAGATGGCATTGAACAGTACCTTTTTCCATACTTTCTGTCAGAACAAGGGCATATAAACCATCAAAGGACAGACCGGAGTAATGCCTGTTTGTATTTACAGTGTGTTGATCAGACTCATTTGTCCAGCATGCAGTTTTATCAGCTTGCCTTTAGTATCAGTAATCAGTCTGATGGTAACAGGATCTCGCTGACCAGTGCTAACTCATGCACCCTACATCACCAGGGTCATGAGATCACTCTGGTACATCACAAATTTCAGGACAGAATGCAGATAATTATTGGAAAGTGAGTAGATAATTAATATATCACGTTACATGTTTTATAATTGAATATATAGAAGGATCAAAAGAGCAACAGATAAACTTTTTGAAATTATTTGCTTTGTAAGCATTATTGCCATAAGAAGTTAACAGTACAATGAAAGTTTTTGTCTCGCCTTGACTGAGGTATGCTGTTTCGGGCAGTAGCGGCATCAACAATGTATTAGTTTGTAATTAGGTCTAGTTTATGGTGAACCACTAGTGGTAGGTCAATAATATTTGGTATGCAGTTGTATTAGCATTGGCACATCTCATTACCATGGAGATTATTTGGTCCCGCCCCCTCAGTCATGATCTATTGACTTTGAAACTTTGCTTAGTTTACATGTTTTAGTTTGTGATTAGGTCAGTTTATGGGGAACCACTAGTGGTAGGTCAATGATATTTGGTATGCAGTTGTATAAGCATTGGCATATCTCATTTTCATGGAAATTGTTTGGCCCTGCCCCCTCAGTCATGATCTATTGACTTTGAAACTTTTGCTTAGTTTACATGTATCAGTTTGTGATTAGGTCAGCTCAAGGGGAAAGTTAGTGGTAGGTCAATGATAATTGGTATGCAGTTGTATAAGCGTTAGCATATCTCATTTCTGTGGAGAATATTTTGTCCTTACCCCTGGCCTATTGACTTTGAAACTTTTGCTTAGTTTACATGTATTAGTTTGTGATTAGGTCAATTTAAGATGAACCACTAATGTTAAGTCAATGATATTTGGTATGCAAATGTATTGGTATTTGCAAGTTTCATTTCCATGGAGATTGTTTAGCCTTGTACCTTCAGTCATGGTTCATTGACTTTGAATATTTGCATAACTTACATGTTAAATTATTACTATTTTAATTTCAACATTTGCATTATCAAATAACAAATAGGCGAGACATATCTCTGTGTTAACAGTTTATCAATTATTTTAAATATCATACAAGTGCAGTGATTCTTCCATGACAAGTATAAAACTAAAACAATTTTAATGATATCACAATCCTTGATGTACATGATGTATTAATTAGCTTTACACAATGAAAACATTTTTTTGTTAAAATCAGGGATAATGTGCATAGCAAACCACCTTGTTTGTAATAGAATTGATTGCAAGAAAATTCCTTTTAGAAGCATGCTGTTGATTATACAAATATTATTTATCTTTGCATGTTTCACTGTAATCTTATTTGTCCTTGAGATATATATAACCTGTACTTTTTAAACCATTTCCTATTTCCTTAGATAAATAACACTTGGTCAAGTGGTATGTTGTTCCGTTCGAAAAGAAGCTTTAAACAAATTAAATAAAATATATGAATAAAAGTTTCTTAAAATGTCATTTCTTGAGGGGTTTTTTTCTGTCTCGCCTTGACAGAGTCAAAAAGCAAGACATAGGTATGCTGTTTCTGGCAGCGGCAGCGACAACAATGTATTAGTTTGTGATAAGGTCAGTTTATGGGTAACCAATAGTGGTAAGTCAATGATATTTGGTATGCAGTTGTATTAGCATTGGCACATTTCATATCCATGGAGATTATTTGGCCACGCCCCCTCAGTCATTTTCTTTTGAATTTGAAACATTTGTTTAGTTTACATGTAAAACTTTTGCTTAGTTTACATGTATTAGTTTGTGATTAGGTCAGTTTATGGGGAACCATAGTGGTTGGTCAATTATATTTGGTATGCACTTGTACTAGCATTGGCACATCTTCCTTCCATGGAGATTGTTTGGCCCTGTACCTTCAGTCATGGTTCATTGACTTTGAATATTTTGCATAACTTACATGTTAAAGTATTGCTATTTTTTATTTGCATTTTACTATCAAAATAACAAAAAAACGAGACATATCTCTGTGTTAACAATTTATTTATTGATAATGACACACAGTTCTGAAACACCATAACAGCAGTATTACTTATAACAAGGAAATATTTATTTTCATCATATATTTTTATCTTTTTGCCCTATTTCATGTAATTTATTGATAAAAATATAAAATTACAAAACACAATTATCTATTAAATCTTTAGTACTTAGGTTTCATTTATTTCCATGGAAACCAAATTCTAATCTTGATGAAAAGTTGCTATTTTGATAGTATCTAATTTCTTAGTATAAGTTTTTAGTCTTCTTCTTTGATGTTTATACTGGTAATAACTCTTAGTTTGTATAGAATAATTCTGTCCATAAAATTCCTAAAAATTTTGCATTCCACAAATATCAAAGAATCCCCATACAGTTTATGCAACTTATGTAGAAAGAGGCATGCATACTCTGTCCCTGCTTTGAGTCTACATATCACACATGCACTTTTTCCTGGACTTTTCCTTTATCTACAGGTTTCAGCTTGCTGATATATGATACTAAGCTAATTTTTTTACATGTTTAATATTGAATTGAGATCTGTTCTTGGTTTCAAATGTCATGAAGAAATATATACATATGTGCATTTGATCAAATGAATACCTATCTAAGCAACAACTAATTAGAACTTCTTGATGTTGGCCGGAAATGACTTGCTACTTCATTTATATGTTTTAGAGATTACTTTGTAACTTCCTGTGTACTTGTTACATCAGTAACATTCTTTGAGATTGAATTGTAATAATATTGTTCAGATAGAATGTTTAAATGACAGGTTTTGTTTACAGTTGCTGTCATTAGACAATGTGATATTACCTAGTAAAAGTACTAAAGAGAGGTGAAAATTACAATAGGGACATTCAAACTTATAAGTTGAAAACAAACTGACAATGCCATCTAGCAAAAAATGAAAAAGATCAAAAGATAAACAACACTATACAAAACACAACATAGAAAACTAAAGACTAAGCAATAGTTAATTAAATACATTTTCAATAACTCTTGATAAATTTGGTGCATCCATGGTGCTTTCTTTTTTTGTTGCTTTCATTAGGAATGGTCAAAACCAAAAAAAATCTAAACCTAAGGATTTATAAATACTTGAGGAACTAGATGACCAAATTGGACATAGGGACCTAATGAATACCGGTAGCCAAAACCATTTAAAGCCAACTTTACCTGAGGGAGTTGGAACCTTAGTTTTTTTAATAATTACCAAAATTTAAGGAATGTATGTTATAAATCATGTCAGAAGAAGTGCTACATATATTAATATACATTTGTAATTTTGTTTTCAGAAGTGAAAGAAACAAGAAGTTACATTATATATACCAATGGTTATGTGATGTTTGTCATGCTGCCCTACCACCTGAAGTTCAGTATGTTTTAGGTCCAGAATGTCCACTTCAGGAGGATTGTGAGGTGAAAGGATCAAAGACCAGCATGCATGTAGTGGACATTTCAAGTAGGAGGTCTATTTTATGTAAAACAACAAGGATTGATAATCACAAGGCTGTAAGAAGATGGCTACAGGATCAGGTGAGTAAAGTTATTGAATTAAGTAGAATTTCAGAACACTGATTGATTGGTGTTTAACGCAACTTTCAACACTATTGTGCTATTTCGTGGCTGTCAGTTTTTATTAGTGGAGGAAGCCGGAGAGAACCACTGACCTTTGGTAGGAAAACTGACAAACCTAGTCAATTAAGATTGGAGTCGAGCGCACCTGGCACGTGCGGGATTCGAACTCACAACCTCAGTGTTGACTGGCTAGTGATATAGTAGTTCGACTACTTAGACCACTCGGCCACCGAGGCCCCTTGAGAACACTGATTACTTGAATACTTTCTAAGTTCAAGTTATTTGAAGAGGAACCATTTAATAATGAGACAATATCCATAAAAAACTCAGTAAGATGCGTCTATCAGAACCACCAAACAACAAAACAGATATCATATTAATCCATTGGAAATCACTGCATTTCACATTACTTCTTGGCTCTCAAAATTAATCACCATACAAATGATAAATTAACACAAGAATAGAATTTTTTGTCTACAAGAATTTCAAATTTGGTCTGAATGGCAATATCCAAAAAGCTAAGGAAAAGTCTCAATAAAACAGTTAATTCTAACCATTTATAAAAGATACAACAGTAATAATAGCATTCTCTATATGCATTTTCCACACTTATATCATTTTCATAGGGTACAGATTTAAAATTTTGCCACAGTAAAAGTAATTGCAAAATTAAATTAATATTGTTGAAGTAAATATGCTTACTATTGCATGCTTAACACATTCTACTTAACGAGTAGCAAAACAACCCCCTTAAAAAACCACAAAACAAAAAAGAAGGTACAACAAAATAAAAACAAGGAATAATAAAAATACATGACAAAAGAATTGTACAGGGTGAAGGCAGCATATTCTTTCTTGAGTTATTCCTGTTAAAAAATGTATACATTCAATCAATAAGCAAAAATAACTTTAATTAATAAGAGATCAATGCATAAATCATATATCTTTAAAATGTATGTTGTTATGCTTACAGAGCACAGAACCAAAAGTTTATATAAAAGATTTGCCATACAATGTGTTCCATAAACTTTTTACCTATCTGCAGTGTGCGACAACTCTTGGGCAGGATTGGAAAGGTTTAGGAGGTAAGTACAGTATAAATGTTTATAATCTGATTTAGTCATTAAAATCTGACAAGAGGGAAACAAACTTTTGGGATTAAGGGAGGGGACAGTGTTCAAAAGTGTTCTTCAAATAAAGAAAAAATGTAAATTTGAATTTTGGTTTAGGTACTGTTAAAAAGTTATCTTTAAGCAGGGTATCTGTCATCACTATATCACCATTCTAGTTTAATTTTATTGGTATCTATTTTGGTTGGAGAAACATTAGTTATTTCAAAGTTTCTTAATTTTGTGATTTCATCATTTTGTCTTATCAAAAAAGTAACTTAAAAATTATAATTATATTATGCCTAGTACATGTATTAAAATTTGAAGTTTTCCCGTACCAAAAAAAAATATCCACAAAAACTGGTATGTTGCAAGTATTAATGAATTCACATGTATTTAAACTTATGATTTTAGCTTCTTTGGGCAAATGTGAGATATTGACGCCTGTAATTTGTTTTCTATTAACTTTCTCTGTAAATACTGGGCAAATTTGAACCAAATATCTTCATAATTTGTAATGGCCAAAGGAAATCTAATCGGGCAGAAATATTCAAAATGTCAAGGTCTACCCACCGTCCATTTGAACGAAAAATGTCAGAAGAATCCTTATAGGAGTTATTGAACATTTTATTATCTTGAAAATCATAGTTGATAGAGAGAAATTTCAGACATGAAAAAGGATCAGCAAGACAAGATATATACAAGTTAAAAAGTTAACATGGCCAATTTCCTTTTTTGAGGAAACTAAAGTAGATAGCTATAAATAGCAAAAATGATCTGCCAAATAAGATCTACAAATAAATCAATCATGCCGAAATAGTCAGTCAACTCCTCATAGGAATGACAATTTGTTCCCATTTTTGCATTTTTGGAGGAAACTTTAGTTGTTAGCTGTAAACAACAAATATGGTCAGCCAAATAAGTCATATGGGAAATCATCAGTCCATGCCTTATAGGAATAATTTCTCTTGAATGATCATTAACGAATAAAATTTAGTGTTTTTACCTAATACATGTATCTTGATTACTATAACACATATATAACAGGAAGATAGCATGATAAGAAAATATCTATGATAGAGTTTAATCAGACAAACTTTTACATAGATATAAGAAGATGTGGTATGAGTGCCAATGAGACAACTCTCCATCCAAGTAACAATTTATAAAAGTAAACCATTATAGGTCAAAGTACGGTCTTCAACACGGAGCCTTGGCTCACACCGCACAGCAAGCTATAAAGGGCCCCAAAAATTACTAGTGTAAAACCATTCAAACGGGAAAACCAACTGTCTTATCTATATAAAAAACGAGAAACGAGAAACACTTATTAACTACATCAACAAATGACAACTACTGAACATCAGATTCCTGACTTAGGACAGGTGCAAACAATTGCAGTGGGTTTAAACGTTTTAATGGTACCAAACCTTCACCCTTATCTGAAACAATAGTGTAACATCACAACATAGAAAGACACACTATAAAACATTGTTGTAAAATATCAATTGAAATGGCTTAACTCAATCAAAAGACATATTAACACAAGCAAACATACACTGAACGAATAAATTTGATCTATGATACAATGTAAATACAAAATCAATGAAATAAGGGATGAATAATTAAAGTAACAGTATTATACCGCTGTGAAATGTTAAACAATTTCAGAAAAACAACAATAATCTTAAACAAAAATCCGCCATTTACAATAATATTATACACAGGTAAATGAAAATAATTTAATTGTTAGGTATACAGTTTAAAAGGAGAAAGGAAATATTTTTACAAAATAAATAATTTTGATGTTCATAGTTCGAAGAAGTGAAAATTTATAGTAATATGACAACCATGAGAAAGGGTTATCAATCGAGACAGATAAATAATATATTTCCTAAATATCAGATAACCAGTGTAAACTGTTCTTATTGATAAGTACTTGTTACATAATAAAAAAAAATATAACTTACGATAATTTGTGCAATTACATCCTTATTGCTAACTGAGATCAATTCATGAAAGTTACAATAACAATCATAAACATCAATGTTAAAAGGGTAATTTATGAAAGTAAATCAAAGATGATTTTATTGTCGAGCCTGCGACTTTTGTCGCAGAAAGCTCGACATAGGGATAGTGATCCGGCGGCGGCGGCTACGGCGGCGGCGGCGTTAGCTAACTTCTGAAAAGCTTTATATTTTAGAAGGTGGAAGGTCTGGATGCTTCATACATTGTATATGGATGCCTCATGTTACGAAGTTTCTGTCAGTCACATGTCCAATGTCCTTGACCTCATTTTCATGGTTCAGTGACTACTTGAAAAAAAAGTTAAGATTTTTTGTAATGTTAGATTTTCTCTTATTATAAGTAATAGGATAACTATATTTGGTATGTGCGTACCTTGCAAGGTCCTCATGCCCGTCAGACAGTTTTCACTTTACCTCGACCTCATTTCATGGATCAGTGAACAAGGTTAAGTTTTGGTGGTCAAGTCCATATCTCAGATACTATAAGCAATAGGTCTAGTATATTCGGTGTATGGAAGGACTGTAAGGTGTACATGTCCAACTGGCAGGTGTCATCTGACCTTGACCTCATTTTCATGGTTCATTGGTTATAGTTAAGTTTTTGTGTTTTAGTCTGTTTTTCTTATACTGTATGCCATAGGTCTACTATATTTGGTGTATGGAATGATTGTAAGGTGTACATGTCTAGCGGGCAGGTGTCATCTGACCTTGACCTCATTTTCATGGTTCAGTGGTCAAAGTTAAGTTTTTGAGTTTTGGTCTTTTTTTCTAATACTATATGCAATAGTTCAACTATATTTGGTATGTGTGTACCTTGCAAGGTCCTCATGCCCGTCACACAGTTTTCACTTGACCTCGACCTCATTTCATGGATCAATGAACAAGGTTAAGTTTTGGTGGTCAAGTCCATATCTCAGGTACTATAAGCAATGGGTCTAGTATATTCGGTGTATGGAAGGACTGTAAGGTGTACATGTCCAACTGGCAGGTGTCATCTGACCTTGACCTCATTTTCATGGTTCAGTGGTTATAGTTAAGTTTTTGTGTTTTGGTCTGTTTTTCTTATACTGTATGCCATAGGTCTACTATATTTGGTGTATGGAATGATTGTAAGGTGTACATGTCGAGCTGGCAGGTGTCTTCTGACCTTGACCTCATTTTCATGGTTCAGTGGTCAAAGTTAAGTTTTTGAGTTTTGATCTTTTTTTCTAATACTTTATGCAATAGGTCATCTATATTTGGTGTATGGAAATATTTTATGATGTACCTGTCAGTCTTGCAGGTTTTATTTGACCTTGACCTCATTTTCACGGTTCATTGCTCAGTGTTAAGTTTTTGTGTTTTGGTCTGTTTTTCTAATACTATAAGCAATAGGTCAACTATATTTGTTGTATGGAAGGATTGCAAGCTGTAGTACATGTCTGCCTGGCATTGTTCATCTGACCTTGACCTCATTTTCTTGGTTCATTGGTCAATGATTAGTTTTCTTGGTTAAGTCTGTATCTTAGAAACTATAAACAATAGGTCAACTATATTTAGTGTATTGAATGATTGTAAGGTGTACATGTATTTCTTGTTTGGTTTATATGACCTTGACCTCATTTTCTTGGATCATGTTGAGTGTATGTGATAGTTGTAGTAAAGCTTTATATTTAGGACTATCAACATAATATCAATGATTAGTAAAGAAGGCGAGACATTTCAGCGTGTGCACTCTTGTTTGTGTACTTACAGGATTACTTGGATTATCAATAAATGATATCAATGTTTATGAAACAAAAAAAGATCCTGCGATGGTTCTTCTATTGGATCAGGATCAAACCAATAGATTGACAGTCCATGAGTTAATAGAATTATTGGACCATCCAGATATGAAAAGAAAAGATCTCATAGAACTGTTACAGAATTGGTTAGATAGCCGAAATAGATAATCCCAACTCATACATCAAGACAGACAACTCTTACTTCACCTGATTCATTCATATGGAGTTTACACTTGAACATCGAAACCAAATACTGATACAGTTTTGAAGGAACCCAATGTCATCTTACTGCAGATTGATTATTATTTGTTTGATACCAATTTTCAATCATTTATCCACGACAGTACAATTTTTCCTCAACCCATGAGAATTGGTGACCACAAAAATAAATGAATCTACAGTATTTCAAACTAATGTTTGAATTATAAATGGTATATAAATTTTTACAAGAAGAAATGATTGATATTCAGACTTTTTATTATATTTCTAAAATATGTAAAAATCCCAATGATATTGTTACTAAAAAGAACAAGGATAGAAAAAAATTATAAGATGTCTTTAGTTAAGTTAGTTTGATTTTATAACTTTGGACAATGATTGCACTGGGCATCTTTTTTGAATAAGTATAGCACATTTTGCAAAGCTTCATGACATGATTTATTCAAACATTTATTGAGATTACATTATTTATTCTTTGAATATCTCTCATTTACCAAAAAATAATCTTATGTTTTACTGGACTTTGTAATTTTTGTGAATATTTTAATAGTATGCAATTTTTGAACAATGCAGTGTAAAGTGTTTATATATTTATTAAATAGAAGGAATGTGTATGATATGATTGAACAGTTTCACATACTATAGATTATATGGATTTATATTAGATGCATACATAATATGAAATGCTTGATATAGAAATTCTGTATATTTTTCATGTCTCTTCTACGATTCTAAATTGTGAAGTAGCTATTGAATTTTTATAGTGATAAAGTCATAGTAAAATAGTGAATCATCATGATTCTTATAATTTTATTTCTTTGTTTTTTTACTTTTACAAGTTTAACCAACCACTTTAGAATTGTACACTTTAATAATAAAAAAAATCACTAAAGTTAGGTCATACATGTATTAAAAAAGTTATCTTGTTCTTAGATACTGGATTTTTTAGAAAGTGTATTGTATATACAGACAAATTTCTGACCTCCTTTGGTGTCGTTTCTGAACTAGAAAGATGAGATTTATATATAAGTCAAATTGAATAAGGACTGGTGTAATACCTAGTGTTTTGAGATGATTTTGATCCAGACTTGCTTTAATCTATATTTTGATATTGCTTTTGGAGGAACCTATAATTATAGGTTTCATAACGAGTGAGAGTTGGATAGCACTTGTATCAACTCCAGTCATTTAATTTCAGTATAATGATAAACGAGCCTTTGGATAGTTTATTATTACTATTTAAATAAAATAAAGAGAGTTGATATGAATTGATAGCCAATTCTAACCATTTGTGAAACCTATTCTTTTGCACATACCAGTTTGATGTCATATGTCCTGTTCCGACATCAAACTTCAACATCAGACATTTTAAAACTTTTTGTATGCTTCAGATTGTAATAAAATTAACAAAAAGAACATTTTCAGGTAAAAAGTGTGAGTGTTTAGTGTCGCAATATCCTTTCATGATGCATATAAGCCAATCAAATTAAAGCATTTTTGGTATCACTTTCGTGGAGAATTGATAACAGGCCACAACCATGAGAGAATGTATTTTTGTAAGCTTTTTGTTTATTTATTAATTGGACAGTCCCTAAGAAAATAATTCTGCTGTTATCTGAAAAGCATATTTTTTGGTTCTGAAATAAACTGCTGAATAGATTTTTTTTGTTTTTATATATATTTTATGCATGTTAATTACTTAAGGGCAAACTCTTGTTTTTAATATCTGTTGTATAAAAAGTTTATAGTAGTATTAAATTAGGATTACCATTATTTGTGTATGTAAGGCCAAGGCAAAACAAATAATGACCATAGAACAGACAAAAATAATGATGTTAAAACCAAAGTTCACAGGGCATTATCATATCGTGAAGAAAATCAATTAAAACAAGGACAATATTCATTTGTGGTTCAAATAGTGGTTGAATTTTTTGCACATTTGAAATTTTGAGAAATGATCTGAGAAATTGAAATTGTCTGACATTATGAGATGTACATGTATAGCTATGTAAAATGAATGTGCAATATATATTGTTATTTTTAGTTTGAGTTAACATAGTCCTGCATCAACATCACTCATTATGTCAAAAGAAGGGTTTTCTCACATGTAAAAGACAATAATATTTAGAAAACCAAACTCTTTTTCTGTAATTGTCAGATAAGACTACTCTATATTAATACTTAGTATAGATGATATAAATTAATCTAAACTAACCATATGTGTCTCTCACAAATGTTCTGTTCAGAATTGTTTGATGGGATGTTTAACAAATCTTGTACAACTGGAGCAGTTAATCAAAATTGATACAGCAAACAATTTACCCGTGTTTTACATAAAAGAAATTACAAAATAGTAAAATGAAAAGAATAATTTGGATATACACCAATGAGACCGCAACCTAATGACACAAAAACACCTAGAGGTAAACATTGTCTTTATCAATAGACATATGTGTATGTAGTCTGTTAATTGATGCAGCAACCTAATGACACAAAAACACCAAGAGGTAAACATTGTCTTTAACAATAGACATATGTGTATGTAGTCTGTTAATTGATGCAGCAACCTAATGGCACAAAAACACCAAGAGGTAAACATTGTCTTTAACAATAGACATATGTGTATGTAGTCTGTTAATTGATGCAGCAACCTAATGGCACAAAAACACCGAGAGGTAAACATTGTCTTTATCAATAGACATATGTGTATGTAGTCTGTTAATTGATGCAGCAACCTAATGACACAAAAACACCTGGAGGTAAACATTGTCTATATCAATAGACATATGTGTCTGTAGTCTGTTAATTGATGCAGCAACCTAATGACACAAAAACACCGAGAGGTAAACATTGTCTTTATCAATAGACATATGAATTTAAATTTGATTTGTAATTTTAAAATTTTGACAAATAAAAGAACACTTCAGTGTGTCATATAAACTTGAAAATACAAGAGTTGTACTTATTTTACTATTGTTGTAAATGGCATGTACATTTATCTCATTTTAGAAATCCAACATCATAAGTAGTGTATGATATATTAAAGTTTTATTTTCTTTTACATTTGTGTATTTATTTTGTTACAGGATATCAAAATTGCATACATATATATATATATTTGTTTTGATTTGTTTAATAAAATTTATGTCAAAGTTTTCTTGAGTTGTAAAGTTGAAAATAACAAGAATGCACATGTTGTCATGCTGAGCATACCCCCACTCATAATTCAAAGTATCTGAAAACAGGAAGGAGGTGTCTTACAAATTCAAAGGATTTGTACAGTAAGAAGGATTGGAATCTCGTGGTTTATCATTACTATACAAATCCTTGCAAATTCATAAAGTGCTCATCGTCCTGAACATGCATGAAATATTTGCCAATGGATGTTAAGCAACCAACAATCAATCAATCATAAAGTGCTCACACGTTCCAACTCATCCCTGCCAAACTGCTTGACTAAAGGAGTAAGTTCACAAAGGGTTAAAATTGGCCCTAAGATTTTGCTGTTTTTAAAACAGGCCAAAATATTACAAATTTCACATAGAAATAGTTGTGATATTACTAGTACTTCATTTTGGCACATCACATTAGAAATGAAGACATATTGGACTCCTTTGGTCAAATTCTCAATAATTCTTAACAGTATATAGCATTTACTTTGGCCGCCACCCCTGATCCAGAAAGTTTTTGTGTCTAGGGATTCAATATCATCATTGGCAACTTTTGGCTAGAGAACATTTTGGATCCTAGGTTGCAGCCAAGGCTTTCCTCAAGCTTTTAGGTCTGAAAAATGCACAAAATCACCGTATTTTAACAATATATCCAAAATGTGCTGATTACGAAACCAAGAATGTACTCTTATGAAGAGATTTATTTTCAATAAAGAAGTAAGGCTTTTGAAATTGATCCATTCAAGAACCAAATTATGGCCATTTGGAAATTTTATGATAAAATTTAAATTCAAGGCCATATTTGGCCTAAAGTGAACATTGTCCTTTGAAGTCATTCATTTAGAAGTACTGGAGAAATGTGTGTCGAAAATTTTAAGTTCATTCAACATATTGGAAAATTCAAAGTATCCACAAGCGGGAAGATAGTGTCTGACAGATCCAAAAAGTGATCCAACTTTCCAACTCATCAATGTCAGGCTGCTGACCGTAAATGAAGTCATTCTGTTAGTAGTACCCGAGAAAAGTGTGACAGAAATATTTGTTGGATGCACAGACGGATGTATGGACAAGATGAAAGCAATATAGCAATAATAATAAAAAGTTATAGAAGCATGAAATATACGGTAGTGGGAGGCAGACGTCAATGCAGTCTATTAATTTTATGATTCTAGCTAACTTGGAATATAATAAATGAACTTAACATAACTCACTTAAGTTTGAAATGTAGGCCAGTGTGACCTAATTTTGAAGGTTAACTGTTACACTTGCTTAAACGCATTATTGCACAATCTCATTTCATTGTAAATCACTAAGTACATGAGAAATTAACTGAATAAAAAATTTACCAAAGTTAATGACTTTTTTAAGCTGTTATACTCCCCAAAAAACATCCTTACACCAGGTTTCTAGTACTAGTATACAATTGTAAGTTGCTTAGTATTTTAGATCTGAACTCGAATGTAAAACTGAACCAGTTACTGAAGTGTGTATATATGTCTGGTGAAATGTAGACTAGTCAGTATGACCTGGGACACACTATATTGACAGTCAGTGAGACCTGGGACATAATATATTGACAGTCAGTGAGACCTGGGACATACTATATTGACAGTCAATGAGACCTGGGACATACTATATTGACAGTCAGTGAGACCTGGGACATACTATATTGACAGTCAGTGAGACCTGGGACATAATATATTGACAGTCAGTGAGACCTGGGACATAATATATTGACAGTCAGTATACTATTCCAAGTTTTCTGCAAGATCTGATTCAGAAGTTTAACTGAAATTAAGTAACTGATCACAAAGCTAGAAATGTAGGTCAATGGGATCTTATTTGACGAAGATATGTTATAGCAGAGTATATATATCTCTGGTTATAGTTACTGGTATCTAGATGCATCTTTACATCATACTACGGAATAGTAGGTCACTAAGAATCTGAGAACTTAACCCTAACGTAAAATATTGAACCGAAATAGTTGAAAAGTGTACCGGTAGGTGTGGTCTTATGCTACCGACAGGCTGTCCCTTCGTGTATGTTTTGCAGTTGCAGGTTGGCAAATTGTCTTTATGCCCATTTTCGAAAAGCTTACATTCCAATTTTATGTGGCGGTAATATTTTGATTTCTCTTATACATATGTTACTTTCATGGACTTACATGTCAAATCACTACAATAAAGCCTGATTGGACTAACACAAGAATTAAAAAGTTTCATATGGGAAAGCATCTGTTTTATCAGAATGCAGCATTTACTTTATGCAAAACAATGAAGATTTACTGCATTTGTGAACACTTCAGATCACTTCACAGTGGCGGATCCAGAGGGGGGCGTAGAGGGCTTACGCCCCCCCCCCCCCTTTTGCACTTTTTTTTTTTTTTTTTTGTAAAATGATTAATCAGACTAGACTTCGTGAACTTTGCCATTTTCCGCGTATTTAATTTTTATACGGCAATTCTTTACTTATAAAGATATGTTTCGCTCGTATTTACTGTAATATATTATTGATTATGTGATTCGCTACGGTGGAGTTGACCAGTGCGTAAAAACGTCACTCAGTCATTTTGAAATTCAAATTACAGTAACACTGTGACATTGCTTAGGCTGAGGATGACAAGCATGACACCTTCAAAGCGACAAAGGATTGAGCAAGAACGTATTGATTGACTTCTATTTCACAATTCCACCGAACAGAAAGTAATACTCTATTACACTTTCATGAAAAAAAAGTTCCACAGCAATATTATTTACCTACGAAAACATGTTTAACCCAACACGCCCCAGCCTATTAATAACATAGCTGAATAATGATCCCCAGTCAATAAGCTCTAGATAGATTTAAAGTCTAAGGTACGGACCATTTGATTTGAGGGGCAGTCTGAGATGTTTGAGAGAAAAAATTCTGACCCTGATTTTTGCCTTAAATAAAAATTCTGGCTGTATCTGGATTGAAAACAATAATCTTGTCCACTTTTTTTGCTATTAGAAACAAAAATTTCCAACAGAATTATTTAGCATTAAATGAACATGATGAATAAAAAAAACGGGCGTAATTTTTTTGGGGCCGGGGGTTTGCATGTAAATCCCATATCTGACCGGAATGTCTGTTTCGTCGAACTGATAAAATGAATACTTTTTCAAGGCCCGACTGCAACCTGCCTGCTGGGTGTGGCCTTTATGTCTCCATTTGTCGACCGTCATTCATATATTCGTTGTCATTTCAGACTCATTCGTAGCCTTTGGTTGATTTGAAACCCCTCACTTCCCTTGTTGGGTGAAACATTTCAACCAAACATTTGGATAAAAATTGCTTGTTCATTGAATAGCCCGGCGTATATCTTGTTTACAACAAGAAATCCGTGACGTTATGCTAACTAGACATACAACAAACGAGAATTTTCAATGTCAATTTTTTACTGACAAGTCCCACATCAAATATATTAGTACATAGCTTTGGATTCATCCAATCATTTTATAATAAACAATTAATGGGGAGAATACGGCATCAAAAATGTCCAACCCTTACACTTTATAAAATATACATGCCTTACGTCAGGAACCGTTAAAAAAGTGCATTTTACACTTATTTTATGTTTTTTAGCCAAAAAAAGGTCCAAAAAAATGTTCGCATCGCTCCGCTCGGCGATATTTACATACTTCGCCCCCCTTTCCAAAATCCTGGATCCGCCCCTGCTTCAGATGGCATAAATAATAATGATAATACCGTTGACTGTTTAGTTACATTTATCACTGTATCAATTTATTTCAACTTATTAAACAATTTTGCAATCCATTTGTCCAGGGACGGTCTATACTAAATGTAGACTGTCCCTGATTTGTCTAACTCCTGTGGGAATTTTCTGTTTTTGTTTACGTAATTCAACACGTATGTAATTATTAAACAAACACTTATATAGCATCCTTTTACTTACCTTTTCATTTCCAACTACTGCAGAAACTGGTTAATTTTATACTTTTAATACAGAAGCGTATTTTTTGGCCAAATTTTATTGCGCAATGTAGCAAATATGATTTCTCGACTTGAAAAAAGCTATTAATAAATGTTTTGCTGATCAAAGTTTTGTTATATAATAGTCAAGGTCGTCGTAAAGTTTGGTGTTTCTAAGAATCAAGATCTAGGACACATGATTTTGTGGAAATGTTGCATCTATTATTTCCAGTTAGAACTGATGATTGAAATATTGTATATCGGTGGGATATTACACCTATACTAACAGAACAGACATTAATCGAGAAATAAAAGAATGTCTCCAGAAATTTTGTTAAAATATCCACATGGGATTAAGTGGTCATCACCGGTTGTTATTGTACTGGACAGGGATGGTAACCGGAGTTTTGGTTTTCGATTTAAGATATGCCAGAGCAGGGTAAATAAAGTAATCATCATTCAATAAAATTGTTATTATTTGTTCTAATTATTACAAACATAAATTAACAGACAACACAGACCGCACAAACAAAATGTTTACAAAAAGAAACAATTAAACTGTTGCACAACTATTTATAAGAAAAATGGAAAAAACGCAAAGCTTACTGGCATATATAAGGTGAAGATATGTGGTATGATTGCCATTAGAATAGTCATTGAGACAGCTATCCAAAAAGACCAAATTACAAGGAGCCATTGACACAGCTATCACAAAGACCAAATTACAAGGAGCCATTGACACATCTATCCACAAACGGACCAAATTACAAGGAGCCATTGACACAACTATCAACAAAGACCAAATTACAAGAAGCCATTGACACATCTATCCACAAAGACCAAATTACAAGGAGCCATTGACACATCTATCCACAAAGACCAAATTACAAGGAGCCATTGACACATCTATCCACAAAGACCAAATTACAAGGAGCCATTGACACATCTATCCACAAACGGACCAAATTACAAGGAGCCATTGACACATCTATCCACAAAGACCAAATTACAAGGAGCCATTGACACGTCTATCCACAAAGACCAAATTACAAGGAGCCATTGACACATCTATCCACAAAGACCAAATTACAAGGAGCCATTGACACGTCTATCCACAAAGACCAAATTACAAGGAGCCATTGACACATCTATCCACAAAAACCAAATTACAAGGAGCCATTGACACGTCTATCCACAAAGACCAAATTACAAGGAGCCATTGACACATCTATCCACAAAGACCAAATTACAAGGAGCCATTGACACATCTATCCACAAAGACCAAATTACAAGGATGTGAACAACTACAGATCACCGTACTGTCTTCAACAATGAGCATGTTTCTAAGACTTTTAAAATACCAATCAGTACATCTCCAACGAATTTAGTGTGAGAATGTCATAAGCAGTCTGAGAAAAGCATGTGTAAATGCCAAAATAAAAAAGATCCAACAGGGTGAAGGAAAATAAGTGTTATTTAATCTTTTACACATAAAAACATATGAAAGATCGATATAGACGATATTTAACGATTTTACTTCATTAGATTGCCATGTCTTTCAACAAAGAAAACAAATGTTATATATACACTATTCATCATTCTAATATTTCCGAGTGATTTGGGTTTATTTCAGTATTGCATCGCTCACATTTCATTATGAAAAAAAAATCATATCAAAAACTATTTTGGAGAACAGATTGAAGTCTTAAATTATTGACATATTCAGTACTGCCTTTAAAAACGACTTACAAAAATGTATAAAGTGAGATCAATTTTATAAGTGTTACTCTTTGCATGAAAGCTATATAAATAATACTTAAATGCTGTTACAATAATCAATATTTTTCAGAATCCAGATGACTGGTACACGCTTGTTTCTGAGGTTTCTAGTGCCCCTGCTAAAAACAAGCTGAATGCTGGCGATTATATAAGATCCATAAACGGGAAATCGCCGGAAACACCACAAGAGGTATAAAAAATATCACCAAATTCTTGTTTTTACAATTGAAGAGTCCACGAGCATATATATATCGTAGAGTGATTACTCAACTAACTTTTACTCAGTACTGTTGATAGTGGTTGTTATAATTTTTATTGATATTAGAATTTCTCAAGGTAATCTTCACTGATTTCGTTTTTCGTTTATTGTTTTGCATAAATCGGGACTGGTCGTTGTTTTTCATTTTGTTCTTCCTGGGCTTTTTTGTTGTCATGCTTTGATTTTTTTGTTGTCATGCCTGGGCTTTTTTGTTGTGATGCCGGGGTTTTTTTTTTTTTTGTTGTCTTATCTTTTGTTTTCCTTCCCTTTTACCGAAATGCTGTCAAATAAAGCTATATCATAGGACGACAGGAATGGATTTTCATATATTTGAGCTCGCTTTCAGTAACAGTGGTCATACTTTGATACGATATTCTTTATAATTGCTTTGCTTGATTTTAATTTTTACGAGGATGACCGTGAGGCGAGATTACTAAAAATTCTCAAGAGGTTCCGCGTAACCCTGTGTGTCGCCTGGGATTGCTGCTGTCTACATGTAAAAACGTAACGTTGACTTTAAAAAGTGAGTTTATTTATCATTAAAATATAGAATTTAAACAAAAATTCAAACTTTTTCTTTAGATGCTATTTCATGGTCTTGAAGATTAGCTTCTGTCCAAGTTTCATAACAATCCATGAAAGCTTACAAATTTATCATGTCAAAAAAGTGTAATCACAGACTGTCTGTAAATGTTAACTGTCAAAAACTAAGTGCAACTAACAGAAAAATACTGAAAGTGAAAAAAAAAAATTTCAAAAGTTTGCTTTAGACATTATCTCTTAATCATAATAAAGCTGCTGCCAAAGTTTCATAAAATTCTATGAAGGTTTGATAAAGTAGTTGATGTGTAACAAACTTTAACCCCAGACTGTATTGTTAAATGTAAAAAAAGCTAAGTTCATTTATCAGTAATATACGGAAAATTTTATTTAAAAATTTTTTCCCTGTCTTTTGATCATAAACAAGCCTCTGTCCAAATTTCCTAAAATTCCATGAAAGTTTGACAAAATTATTGGTGACTGAAAAACTTTAACCTCAGACTAAATCTGAATGTTAACTGTAAAAAAACTAAGTCTGCCATCCTCTACCTTCAAGGTGTTATACTGCTCTAGGTTCCATACAAAATGTGATACTGTCGACGCTGTTCTTAAGAAATATTCAGTTCGTTTAGAAAGGATGTTTTGTCTTCTGAAGTAATAAGCATCTGTGCGCTTTTCTTCAAACAATTATGCTGTTGTATCTAACATTCTAATGTCTTCCTTCTAAAGAGTCTACAGAAGCAGTAATGGAGTAACAATAGAATATTATATTTTTATTCTGTTCTGTATTATCACGTTTTCATTTATTGAAAAACATCTGTTGACTATGGTTTATTTAAAAAACATTTTGTCAAATGTGTATATATATCTAATGTATTTTAATAGGCTGAACAACTCCTGTACAGTTTGGAAAATTTAGATTCATTGAGGATTATCGTGCAGCGGCCACAAGACATTCTGTCAAAATATAAAAGATGTATTTCTCAAAAAGAGGGAAGCGACCCGACCAAAACAGTTAGTTTCAGAGGAGTTTCGATACAGAAATCCGATTTGAATGTTTATATCGGTGATATACCACCCTCATTGTATGACCAACTGTGTACAGATCTTCAGATTCAAATGCCGCGTGAGAATGATTGGAAACTATTAGGTGGTAAGTCATAATGTGGAATTTGTAACCCAAAAAATAAAACTAGTCAGAAGAAACTGATATAATAACAATTATCTTTATTTATGCAAAACGGATATGAGCATACACATAATATAAACATGACATAATATATAACAGTTAATTTGTATTATCCTTAGTAAACTCTCTCTCTCCTCTTTTCTAATGACTGTTTTATAAAGGATGTCACTGCTTTAACATTGCTTGGTGTCGGATTCAGAAGCCTTTTAATTTTATCAACGTGTCTTAAGTATTTATAATTATCTTCTACAGTGTTACAGATATATATATTTAAATAACTGTTCACGAATATTTTTTGTTAAATTATACAGGACAGAGATAATTAACTTTCCCTTTTACATCAAATCTGGGACTATAGTATAATAGTCCCAGATCAAATGCATAATCTTTCTTCTCGTGGTCATTTTCTATATCTGCCTATTGCAATCAGTAGTGTTTATACTCATTCAGAAATGATCTCTTATTATTTTGTGACGGACGGCTATACTTGCAGAATTTCTTTTTGTGGTTTCGACAACATACCTAATGACTTTCTTAAATACGGTGGTGTTATACTGGTTGGTTCCCTTGTTAAGATAACCGACTTTGAATGCATTCCAGTTGAATGTCATAAAGGTATAATAAAGTTAATTCACAAAGGAGGCTCGGTTCATGATTTGGCTAATTACAGGGGAATAACTTTAACTTCCAATGTATATAAGGTTTATTGTAAAATCATTGAGGACAAAATTATGAATTATATTGAAGGTAAGAACTTATTAGGTGAATATCAAGGCGCCTTTAGAAAAGACAGAAGAGTTGAAGATCATGTTTTCACCATTCGTGGACTCTGCTCTTTAAGGAAAACAAAAAAGGAAAACACCCTTCTAGCTTTCTTATATCTATCCTCTGCTTTTGATAAAGTCTGGAGATGGTCTTTTTTTTTATCTTCTTTGGCAAAATGGTATCCAAGGAAAATTCTGGAAACTACTACGTTCTCTTTATAAAAATGTAAGTAACAATAAAATTGAGAATGGAAATGGGGAATGTGTCAAAGAGACAACAACCCGACCACAGAACAGACAACAGCAGAAGGCCACCAACAGGTCTTCAATGCAGCGAGAAATTCCCGCACCCGTAGGCGTCCTTCAGCTGGCCCCTAAACAAGGTCATTTTTGGAAATTACGAATCAGATGGTTTGATCATGAATTAGGCCTAAAAGAAGGATGTATTTTATCTCCTACATTATTATCTATTCTAATGTCTGATCTTATCTCAATGATAAAAGAAAAGAATCCCGGTATTAATGTAGCGACAGAATAAAAACTGGTTTCTAGGGGATGTTTTAATTGAGTAAACAAATATAAATACTTGGGAGTTAATTTTTCAAGAACGTTCAAATTTAATCATCATATCGGCGACAAATACCTAAAGGAAAACTTTGAAAAGAAACCTAACTATATTATTAGCGTCTCAGGAGAACACGGTGATTTTAATCGGTCTAATTTTGGCTGTGCTTTGTGGATTTCGGTTATACGTCCATCCATTGCTCATGCTTGTGGCGTATGGTACTCAACGTCAAAATCCGGAAACGAAATGCTAGACAGCTGGCAGTACAAAGTCGCAAAATTAATAATTAACTCCAAAATGCTCTGTTTTATTGGAGTTAAGATGGGAATCATTAACAAATTATATGGACCGTCAAAGGATCACATATTTTGATAGGTTAGATTCTTTACCTGGTACAAGATATTGCAAAGTGATTTTTAACGAACTTAGATTTTACGTTACACAAGCAAGACAACATTCCGCATGAAATTGAAAGATAGTGATACATGTCAAACATGTTGTATTGAAGAAACTGTTTTGCATGTATTATTGGAATGCCAGGCATTTAATGATATTCGAGAACGTTTCTTTTCTGATTTGCGAGATTTTCTCCTCAATGCAGGAACCGGCGTGTTTTTTTCAGAGTTGCCTCGCTTTAATAAACTTCAATTAATCATCGGCGACATAGCCTTTTTGTTCGGTGATGATATCGGGAAAAGGGTTGATGAAATAGGCAAAAAATATCTTACCTCAGTCATTAAAGCTCGCAATGAGTTGTTTGAAAGTTTGAAAGTGTGCCAAATTTATTTGAATTTGTATTTTAAGAAAAAGTCTAAATATTATGTGTAATCTTTTAATAATATTCAAGATATAGCAATGCACTTTTACGGTTTCTTTTATTCATTTTTATAAATGTTTATTATCAAAGGTTGGATTTTAAAAGAAATACTTTTACGATTATATTGACATTTTTAATTTTATAGTGATGTGATATTTTACGTACACTGTATATATTGTCTCTTTGACACATTCCCCGTTTCCATTCTCAATTTTATTTATTATTTATTGTAAAGTTTGTATGACCCAAACACTAATACCCCGCTGGTCACGGTTTGCCCCGATGTAAAGGGGTACTTTCTCAATAAATATATATAGAATATTATTGTTTTCTGTTTAGTGTTAAATTTATAATTAAGATCCAGTTATTACAGCGGTGATCCGTTTATTTGGCAATCGCCAATGGCAGTCAGCAGGGTTAAAGAACATTTGTTGTTCGACCTGTTAATCAAATGCGTTTTGTTAAAATATACTTTTTCACATTTTTGGTCTTTTGGAAAATGTTGTTTGTGCTGTATTTAGACCCCTCTAACAAGAAATTTGTTTTGCATGCACACGTATAAAAATTGCGGTTTTTATCCAACGCAATCATAGGTTTGAACGTTGTTTCCAATTTAGACTTGTTTATATTTTTTCGTTTGGGCTTGTATTATATTTGCCTTCGGGTTTATATGATCCGTTCATCCTATTTTGACTCCTCAAAAATCAAGAGTCTATCCTAAATTGAGGTAAATTGTATGGCTTTCCAAATACCGTTTCGATTCCTAACATCACTGAAGAGACATTAGTTGTCGAAATCCGGATATGATGTACAAAAACCTTTGCACCTTTTGTTTGCGGTATGCCATCTTTTCCGCAAGTTTATTGTTTTCTGTTTAGTGTTACATTTATAATTAAGATCCATTTATTACATCGGTGATCCGTTTATTTGGCAATCGCCAATGGCAGTCAGCAGGGTTTAAGAACATTTGTTGTTCGACCTGTTAGTCAAATGCGTTTTGTTAAAATATACTTTTTTGGTCTTTTGGGAAATGTTGTTTGTGCTGTATTTAGACCCCTCTAACAAGAAATTTGTTTTGCATGCACACGTATAAAAATTGCGGTTTTTATCCAACGCAATCATAGGTTTGAACGTTGTTTTCAATTTAGACTTGTTTATATTTTTCGTTTTGGCTTGTATTATATTTGCCTTCGGGTTTATATGATCCGTTCATCCTATTTTGACTCCTCAAAAATCAAGTGTCTATCCTAAATTGAGGTAAATTGTATGGTTTTCCAAATACCGTTTCGATTCCTAACATCACTGAAGAGACATAAATTGTCGAAATCCGGATATGGTTTACAAAAACCTTTGCACCTTTTGTTTGCGGTATACCATCTTTTCCGCAAGTTTATTGTTTTCTGTTTAGTGTTAAATTTATAATTAAGATCCCTTTATTACATCGGTGATCCGTTTATTTGGCAATCGCCAATGGCAGTCAGCAGGGTTTAAGAACATTTGTTGTTCGACCTGTTAGTCAAATGCGTTTTGTTAAAATATACTTTTTCACTTTTTTGGTCTTTTGGAAAATGTTGTTTGTGCTGTATTTAGACCCCTCTAACAAGAAATTTGTTTTTCATGCACACGTATAAAAATTGCTGTTTTTATCCAACGCAATCATAGGTTTGAACGTTGTTTTCAATTTAGACTTGTTTATATTTTTCGTTTTGGCTTGTATTATATTTGCCATTCGGGTTTATATGATCCGTTCATCCTATTTTGACTCCTCAAAAATCAAGAGTCTATCCTAAATTGAGGTAAATTGTATGGCTTTCCAAATACCGTTTCGATTCCTAACATCACTGAAGAGACATTAATTGTCGAAATCCGGATATGGTGTACAAAAACCTTTGCACCTTTTGTTTGCGGTATACCATCTTTTCCGCAAGTTCATTGTTTTCTGTTTAGTGTTAAATTTATAATTAAGATCCATTTATTACATCGGTGATCCTTTTATTTGGCAATCGCCAATGGCAGTCAGCAGGGTTTAAGAACATTTGTTGTTCGACCTGTTAGTCAAATGCGTTTTGTTAAAATATACTATTTCACTTTTTTGGTCTTTTGGAAACTGTTGTTTGTGCTGTATTTAGACCCCTCTAACAAGAAATTTGTTTTGCATGCACACGTATAAAAATTGCGGTTTTTATCCAACGCAATCATAGGTTTGAACGTTGTTTTCAATTTAGACTTGTAGAATATATACATATATATATATATATATATTGTCCTAAGAGTATTTCTACCAAATTTGATGTGAATATTTTCCAGATGTGTTCTGTCAAGAAAAGTAAGTGCATCTAAATGAAATTGAGACTTTGGGTTTTCTTCTTTCGTTGAGGGTCTGTAGTATTTTATTATAAATGCAAATATACGGTTGCCTATTGTTGCTTACATCCACTTCATTTGAACTTTGGTGGATAGTTGTCTCATTGGCAATCATACCACATCTTCTTATTTTTATATAATAAAATTCAGAATTATAAATTACTATAGGTTTTACCAACGAGTCAAAAAGATTAAAGGCTACATTCACTTATACATCTGTGTATATGCTGGTGTATTATATCTAGAGAAAAGAGTACTTTTCTGGCTTTTTAAAGGTCTTCAGTACTAGGAGTTCAACTTCCATTTCTCCTTACTATATTACCAAGAAACTTGTACTCTTAGTTTTAATAAAAATCAAATAAAACTAACCTTTTTTTTACACCTTAAGGCATTTAATGTAACAACACGTAGAAATAAAAGAATCCTCATGTTCACGTAGAACCAATTTCCCCTGTACATATTTCATCAGCAGGGTCATTTCATATATAATTCTAGAATATGTAGCGACATACACAATATCACAGATCTGTCCACTGCTTTAAGGTTCTGGTTTTATCAGATATTTATTTCTGGTGAAATGCTGAGGAATATTAAATAATGTAAAGTATTATAGCATAGAACTTTTTCTGAAATGTTAGTACTGTAAATGGTTCAAAATGCAAATTTCGAGTACTTAGAGTTAAACATAATAAGGGCATCTCCTCTTATTCAAGTTAAACCAAACCTCAAACTCATCGAAAAAGATATTTATTACTTTGGTGTTTGCTTTCCATGTAATTTTCAATACAATAGTCTTGAACTAAAAATGTATTGATAGAATAACTGTTTTCCTATAGTCTAAATGTTACAAAGTCTCGACTCAAGTGTCAACTCAGTGGTCAACAAGAAGCTGTGTAATACTGATTTGGGTGCTAAAGACAAATTCCCTTTTGTATCTTAATTTTATTACTTAAAAACTATATTCCGAGGATGGCCGACTTTTACCCCGTCAGTTAATCTTGTAACGGTCACATTGTGATTTTCTAATCAGTCTATCTATTTCATTATCAGGTTTTTGTAAAGGTTGTCGGATATTCGTAATATTTGAATTGAGTTGAACATTAATATTTATAGTATATATTTATGCAAATTTATGGTCAAATCATGAAAAAAAAAGAATTCTGGTGCTTTGAAAGTATTTTTAACAATTTTGTCGATAAAACGTGTGAATGAATAACGTACAGAATGTTGCCTTCAGTCATTGCTCACAAAATTATACAAATGCAATTTTTTTTTTCACTGAAAATGTGAGATATATTTCTCATCTTCTTAAGTTGTCACCAAAATACATTAGTTTTTTTTTAAATTGCTTAACTCTACAGAATAGACAGAACATGTTAATTCTTGCAAATTCGGAAAGTTGTTCAATCAACTGGATGTGTACTAAATCCTCAGAATATAAGGCTTTGATAAACATCTAAAAGCTGGATAAAAAAACACCTTTGTATATTTCAGAGTTAATTCTACGTTTGACGACTCGTGATGTTGAGAGATACAAAACAAAGACAAATCCAGCTGATTGTTTGTTATGGGATCTTAGAAATGAGAAAGGTTTTACAGTCCCTAGGTTGATCAACTTTCTTAGGAAAATGGAAAGAGAAGACATAATATCACCTTTACAAAAGTGGCTAGACAGTGAGCAAAAATAGTACTAACCTACAAGGAAACTGCTTATTTAGTCATGAGTATGCACAGAATAAAACAAGCCATGAACACCAAAACTGAGAATAAAATCTGACGTCTTAAAAATGGTACCAGGTGACGGAAGAAAATTAAACTGAATATTGGAAAATGGACTAAAACTGATAACTTGGTATTTTATGTAATTCATTTCAAATATAAATGCCGTTCTCACAAACAATAGATCTTAACTGATATATAACCATCTAACCATCATTATTAAAGAAGGAATATAAATTAACTTTTCATTGAGAAAGATAAAAGATTAGTCTGTTAAAAGCATTTATTTGCAACAGTAATTTGTGAAAGAAAATTCTGTAATAATCTTATCGTGAAGAATATACGTTTTGCATTCTGGTATGTTTGAACTGTTACAACGTAAAAACAAAAACAAACAATTGATATATCACTTCGCTTCAGATCGCTTTAAATTATTTCCTGAAGATTATATTTGAAAAGCACACAATTATGTTAACTAAAAGAAAACTATAAGATATAGTTTTAAAATCTGGGGAGATAGTGTTCATTAAATTTTCATTAGACACCTCCAGCAAGTAAAAATGAGGGAGTCACCGTGCTTGGTTTCTTGCTACAACACAAAATGTCCTAATTCACAGAACAATTCATTTTGAATTAAAAGAAATTTTGAGTTACCTCCCCGTATATGTAAAATGCGCTGAGTATCAGCAATACTGGGAAAATTTATTTTTGAGATTTTAACTAAACGGGATGCCATTTCAGAGAAGTGCAAAATTTAACAATATCAATTCACATAACGGTGAACGGTGAACATAACACATTCAGTTTCATAACAAAAAAGAACTCTGCCCGAATAATATATTGTTCATAGATACTCTTAGAGGCTCGTTACTCTACGCTTAAGGAGCAGACGAGATTAGTTTTAAGACAGATTTATCTGTCTATTCAATAGAATCTTGCTAAAAGAAAAAAAAATGTTGATAATTAAGCAGTGTAAAATAGTCATCATGGTTTGTATAAAACCGAAAACATTCAGTCGAAAACAATCATATGATATATCATATTTATGAAAGAACATGACAGCAATAGTTCGATCAGATTTCTTGAATAACAGACTTTATGCCCAGAAAAGGGGCAGAAGGACTTTTGTCTGGCATTGAAGCTTAGCTGTTTCATTTTAACTGGCGGAATTCAGATTATACTTTTCTTAGCTTTAGGTGGTATGGGAGTATAAACGATAATTGATAGAACTTTTTTTCATACTTTGCCAAAATATAGTATATATTGTGGAATGTTAAAAAATATCATGAATAAAAATGATAGGTCACCGCGCATTCTTTCAGGCTACATGTTGTAAAAAATGACACATTTTGTATCGATTATACATGAAAACCCATCATTATGTGAATAGAAGGTAATCTAAATGATAGAATTGAGAAATAAAATACGAGAAGATAGCTCTTAGTAAATGCCTACAGAACATCGAAAGGAAAGATAGGGTCACCGTACGTTTTTTTCCCTGCTATAACATGAAATAGAAAAATTTCATGAAGATTCCTCTAGAAATTATTCTATTTCAGAGTTACTTCTTCTTAATGCGCTTATTAAAAAAAAAATGAAAATCAAGCAAAAATAATCTATGTTTGTAAAAAATATTAGTAATAATAAGTTGAATTCTTATAAATTTGTTAATTTGAATGAAAATTCAAATTAGTTAATTGCATTCCTGCATCAAATTTTCCTGACTTGATTGAAAATCTGGACCTATTGTGTTCTGCTATTCTACAATCCAAGATGGCGAAAGACACCCATGCTACCTTAAAGTCGGAACTTTGGCATTAAAATATATAAGGTTTCTGGAAAATATCAGAATTCGAGATTTAGATATTGAAAGTTTACTTCAAATTTTAAAAACTTACACCTATAGGGACTTAAAGTGACGAGGGTCGCTTGAAAAGTTAACTTTACACTAAAGACGTGACTATTTTTATTTTCCATTTTATGTAGCAACATTCCTGCATCACGATCTCCTTGCGTTTAGGGTAAATATCTCCAAATTTATGCGTTTTTCGAGCGGTTGTGTTTCCTATCAGGATATATTAAATAAGTGGTAAATGCTAAAAAGGAAGCTGAATTTTAATAGTGAATTTGACGTTATTTCTTCAAATGAGTTTTCGGACGCCATTATGATTAAACTTACCATAACATCTGGATACAATTTACAATCTGTGTCACAGATGACTATGATCTGGGATCATGGATATGTTCAATTTTTTATAGTTCATCCTCTTTGCTTATAATAACCCAGATTCATCTGTCATGAGCTAAATGACGGATGTCACTTGAGGAGCAGGAAATGCTTACCATCGTCACTTGAGTTTATCCTACTTATTTAGGACGTTCGTGTTGCTCGATCTTAAATGTCTTGTATTTTGTGTGTTTGTATTCTTGTATTTCTGGGCAATTGTGTTGTAATTTTTCGACTAATGACTACTGATTGCCCCTTTGTATATTTTCTTACTTTCTATCTATTTATCAGTATTTGGGATAAATCCTTCTATCGGTCTTCTTTAAGACTTATGAATAAAAAAATTAGAGGCGTTCAGGCGTCTGAATCGCTCACCTGGTAAAAATATGTAGCACTCAGTCTCTTGAAAATCATTAGTAGCAGTGATGGCAATATTGCGCACACTAAATAAGGTAGTGACAATGTTTGACCCAGAGCCTATCGGGAAATATATTGTATAGGTCTTATCTTGGTGATCAGTTATGCTGTTAACAATATATCTCTATAAATCAACATTAATAGCTTTCTTCAAGAAATGCAAAACAGGGTAAAAATCATAATAGAATTAAAAATTTATTATGTCAGTGATGATAATGTATTAAAGTGTAAGAGTGATAAAGAATATACTTATTGAGATATAAGCCAAGGCATTACCCCTGTGTTCTATTTAAAGCAACAATGGTCATGTCTGATGGTGAATCAAAATATCGGATACAATTCATAAACTAGACATAACAAGAAACATTCACACACAGCTTACTAAAATCCATAGGAGAATTTTGAAAAATAAAATATTTACGCAAAGGACGACAGACGGCAATGGATGCAAAGTTCAACAGGGGCTCTTTTCACAAAAAGTCACAATGACAAAAATTGATCGTAAGTTATACTGAAATAAGTCACCAAACCTTTATACCAGGTGATTTTAAACAGATTAACTCTCCCATTTTATTAGAATTTTACAACAATGTATGTGTTTCTTTCCTATTAAACAAGAACACATTAGTAACGCTTTAAACACATCAAAATATTGTCAAGTTATTATTTTTCCTAATTATTGATCTCTTCGTGAAATAAATTTTCAAATTATGATTTGTTAGATCTGTTTGACCTCTGGATGGCATTCCCGCCAATGTATAATGTCCGTGGGGCTCCGGATGATTTTATCTGATTCAACCTATCTCTAGCAGATAACGCATTGACAGCGTCGTATATTTCGGACAATTTTTGGTTCTGTTTATCCAGAACTGTTTTATAAGTAGTATCCTCGGTTGTGGATTTTTCTTTCTGAACGCGTATAATCTCATGAATTCTTTCATAAGCATTCTCGATATCTCGTTTCAAATCATCACGTTCTTTTTCTTTTTCGTCTAGTTCTGTTTTAAGATTCCTGTTTTCTGTCAACAAATGTTTAGCCTCCATATCTGAATTCAGTTTTCCTTTTCTGACAGTTGATACTTCATCTTGAAGTTCTTCTACTTTATCTTTCAATCGATCAACTTCTTCCTTTAACATAGTATTTTCGGCTTTTAGTTGGGAATTTTCCAAGTTTGATTGTGTCAGTTTTTGCCAACGTTCGTTTTCCTTTTCTCTCAAATCCTTCTGGTGTTGTTTCAGTTGATCATATTTCAATTTGAGTTTTTCACATTCATTTTGTTTTCGTTGTAGACTTTCGATACTATCTTGCAGAGATTTTATGGCACTGTCATTCTGCAATAGCATTTGTTTCTTCTCTTGTTCCCATTGTTCGCTGAATTTCCCCAGTTTGGCATCTATATTTTCTTCCATCTCTCGAATGTCATCTTCTCTTCTTTTTTCAAAATTGGTGACTAGTTCCTCGGTTAACTTTCCACTAAATTCTGATAGGACTTTTGACATAATAGAAGCAACTTGGTCAATATGTGTATATCCACTGGCAAGTGCTGGCTCGTCAGAATGACTTATCTAAAATGATAATATATAGACAATAAACACTAGTTAATTAATATCCAATTGGGCATAACATAAAAGTTATCGTTTTCCTATACGTATACCTGACACTTTATCTTGCTTCCGATTAATTATCAAACTCATTTCATAAAAACAGAATTTCTAATTGTATTTAGCATCCTTCGTCGATAAACAGGAACTGAATGCGAACATTGTTAAAAGTTTCATATAAAATAGCATTGAAGGATAGCTATAACCCCTTTAGATTTTGAACATAGTCAAATGCATGAATGAAATAAATCCCAAACAGGCATAAAATAGGGCATGGAGATCAAATCATGTTTTTCAAAGCAAAATGCATTCTCCGTATTGGTCTGAAATCGAAATTTATCCCCTTTTTTGCGTTTTGGCAATTATGTTTAACACAGCAATAGATGTCAATAGAAAACTGCATACCTGATTAGATTAAATCTACATATAAGTCAACAGAAGCAAAATAGTCACACGACGCCTTATAGGAGTCATTGCCCTTTAAATGAACATTTTAACCCTTTTTGCGTTTTTTTGTTATTATTTTTACTAAATAGAAAAAGAAAAGCTGTTTACAGCAAAATTATCAGTAAGATGAAAAAATAACAAATAAGTCAACATGAGTTATAGCACTTAAATTTCAATATTTATCCATTTTTTCGTTTTTATACGACCGCAAAAATATGTTGGTCGTAAAATGATATGGCGTCGTCGTCGTCGTCCGAAGACATTTGGTTTCTACACAATAACTTGAGTATAAGTGTATAGATCTCTATGAAATTGTACCACAATGTTCCATACCACAACAGGAAGGTTGGGATTGATTTTGGAGGTTATTGTCTTAACAGTTTAGGAATTAGGGACCAAAAAAGGGTCAAAAACAAGCATTTTCTTGTTTCAGGACAATAACTTGTGTATTTGTGTATGTATCTCTATGAAATTGTACCAAAAGGTTCTAAGCCTCATAGGGAGGTTGGGATTGCTTTTGGGGTTTATGGCACTAACCGTTTAGGAATTAGGGGCTCAAAAAAGGGGCAGAAAACAAGGATTTTCCGGTTTCCGGACAATAACTTGAGTATAAGTGTATGGATATCTATGAAATTGTACCACAAGGTTTCAATGATTGATTTTTTGGACCATTATAAGTAAATGTCCAATTTCAATTGTTTAAGTTCTTAGACCACATTCATTCCGTGTCACAAATCTATGCTGTGTCAAATATTTAATCTCAATCCAAATTCAGAGCTGTATCAAGCTTGAATGTTATGCCCAACTGTTTAGGGTTCGACCTCTGCGGTCGTATCAAGCAGCGTCATTTTATTGCTATTATCTTGAACACGTTGATAGATAAAGATAAACCATAGATAGCAAAGCTTAGTGTTTGTGATGATTTTTGTTCTTTTTGCGTTTTCTTTTACTGTTATCTCAAAAGAACTTTAAATAGCAAAAAATGAGCAACAAGACACGAGCTAACAATAAGCTAACTATATCGAAATTGTCAATAGACTCTTTGTAGGACTTATTGTTCTTTAATGATGACTTTTTAATGATGATGTTTCACCTAATTTTGCATTTAAAACAATCATAAATAAGAAACTATCAAACAAAACCGATCTACAAATACGTCAACATGACCAACATCTGTTTTACCTTTGTTTGCATTTTTATCTTTGAAAACTATAAGTCAAAGATAAACTGAAGACAGCAAAAATAACAAAAAAATCAGGATCTACAAGAAAGTAAAGTAATGGAAAATGTAATTTGACTCCTTCTGGGGATTTTTTGTTCTTCAGCAATTTAAAGGGTGGTCGGAAATATTCTCGAAGTGGATCTTGATTAAACCGGATCACAAACAAAAGATGCGTGAAAAAGATGTCTGCCATTGTTGGTAAAAGTTTTAATGTTGCATATATTGCCAGGTACCCGATTCGGGAGCCTCTTATTTATAGTTTTGTACTGTATCGTTATGCACTGCGAGTCATGAAAGAGAATAATCAACGCTTTGGGGCTAAAAAGAACTTACCGCTTGAACAGGCTGCCTCTTGTGGGGAGTTTTTGCTCTCATTGGACCTGGAAAGCAAACAGAAGAAAGATTTCTATATTGAAACGTCACAAGGGTCAAATGTTGTTTTTTTTTTGTATTACAACGATTCTTATTTTTTTGGAGCAACTGGCCAACTGAGCTTATGTTATCACTTGGCATCGGTCGTCGTTGACCGACGTTCGTCTTTAAAAAAAATCTTTAACAAATCAAATATGTTCACACTTGGAAGTAATGTTAACTGCATGTCCTCTACAAACGATCCCCATTTTTTTCTTATAGGAGGAAAAAATTATAAAATAGAACATAGATTTGCAGTTTTTGGCTTATAAATTAAGCAGGTAAATATCTACAGGTCCGAAATTGTCAAACGACTCTTTCTAGTTGTCATTGACCTTTAATGGCGTTTTTTACCCATTTTTGTGTTTTGGGCTATATCAAATCTCGACACTACAATTCGATGAAGACAACTGTAAAAAGCAAAAAGGATCAGCCAAATCTATATAAAAAAATAAGTAAACATAATTGTAATTGTCAGTCGATTCCTTTTAGGAGTCATATCGGGTCGCCATCTTACTTAATTGCGTGAAAGATTGCTGCCAATGTGGCAAATGATTTTAAAGTTGCATATTTAACGAGGTGGGCGTTTAAAGATTCTTGGACCATTAGTTATAAAACATAAAGCTTTTAAACAGTAAATGCAATATATAGAATAAAATGCGGTGATTTCCCTGAAGATTCGCCAAATAAAGTCTTGAGAGTGACACACCACCCAATGATGAAGGTTCGTAAAACTGCCGTCAATAAAATGGTTTACTGTGAATTGGGACGTTACTCAATGTTTTATGAAAAATACATAATAATGATTCAGTTTTGGTTAAAAATATTAAAAATTGATAACTGGTTATGGAGATAAATTGGAGAGTTCTATTAAACCAACGACAAACTGAATTAGGCATGCTCAGTCAGAGATGTTTTATGTAAATATAGTTTTCATGATGATGGTTAAAACAAAGCGTAAATAATGTTGATATATTTATACATGAGCTAAAACAAAGAATGAAAGAAATCTGTATCACTGATGCTAATGCGTTTTTTTTTTAATTCATGTAAATAGATATAAGAAGATGTGGTATGAGTGCCAATGAGACAACTCTCCATCCAAGTCAAAATTTATAAAAGTAAACCATTATAGGTCAAAGTACGGTCTTGTATACTTTATAGATAATATATATGACACAGACATATTGCAATTTTGTTTAGATAGACCTGCTAATCAAATATATAAACCTTATATGGGTAAATATCGGATCTCTGCCCATAGTCTCAATATAGAGGCAGGCAGATATTACAATGTTCAATAGCAATATTGTTGAAGATGAATACCATTTTATTAAAGAATGTAACAGGTATAGTGATGTAAGAAAACAATTTATTAAATAATATTATTGGCAATTAAACTTATACAGTTGCTATCAGTTCACAATGTGAAATACATGTAACTTAATAATTTGGGTAAATTTTAGTTCATTATATTTATCCAAGGATGTATAACTAATATACGTCCTTGATTTATCATATCTGAATGGTTATTGTCATTCTCCGCCATATGTGTATTTTGTATAATTATTCAGTTATTGGTATGACACTGGTGCATTGAAAATATAATGTAAATATTTACGTTCTATAAGCTGTATTGCTTTTAAATACAGTATTATTATTATTAACTAAATGTCGAGTTGAAGAAGAGCAATCATCAAAGTGTTGTTTCTTTGATACACGGTTATTTCCCTTGTATTTTTAGGGATATTTATCTAATATACATCTACTCAAAAGTCCTTTTCGACGTTATAATCTGTAAAAATTATGTCCTTTCGGGAAATTTCCCCCTATTCTCAAAATAAACATTTATCCGGAGGTTTTAATCCAAAGTAGTTTGATATACATGGGATCTTACAAAAGAGTCGTGTTTCACTATTCATTGTGAAATAAGGTAAAACATCAATCTTCAAAAAATAATAACCATTGCGCTTATATGGCAAATGAACATGATATATCGAAATTAAACTGTATTAAATATTGCATATGCTTCTCATAAGCTACTAGTACCTAATAAGAAATGCTTAGCTAAATCATAACGATGATCCTCGACCGTCGAAAATACGGTCACAGACGTCATATTTGTCTACTAGTATTTAAATCATGAAACCTGTTTTTGTGGCTTAGTTCATCTGCTTCACAACAAATTGCTTTATACCTAAACTTCACCGCAAAAATGGAAATTTATATGCCTCGTTGCTTGATGCAATTAAGAAAAAAACTTACCAGCATCTAGCTTTACCACTGTATTTTGAAGTCTCTCCACCACATAAAACTGTCGTTCATTTTGAAGTGCTTCAAGAAAGGCATTGTATGCTGCAGGATGCGAAGATGATAGTAACAGTTGAATGAATTCATTAAACTTTCTCTGAGGAGTAGGTGGAGTTGCAGCATCAATCCTGGAACGATGTTCTAACTGAAACACGTCTCGTTCAATAAGATAATCCAAAAGAGGATCTAAATCTAGCATTCTTTCTTTCAGATATGTCAAGTTTTGAGTAATCCTTTTACGATTCTCTTTATTCATATTGTATCTTTGCTACTTTACCATTATAGAATTAAATGTGTTAATTTTCCCTCTTATATTTTAATTTAAATCGGATGTCACCTATCTAATGAAGTCTGTTTTATGCAATCCAAAGTGATAAGTGTACTTATGACGAATGCAAAAATCTCCAGTGAATGACATTCTAGTTAGCAATTTACTTATTTTTGTATCGATTATTTAAACCTAAAAGTGATCTAACAGTTTAGAATTTACTTAACCCAACCTATCATTTATTCATCAATACATGTGAATTTAAATGCAAACATTGTCAAAATACATGACAATGTAATGTTTACGGTAACTTGGATAAGTCCAATATTGTATCTGCACAAAACTTCTATTCAAATCGATTTCTGATGTATACAACTCATGTTTTTCCAATTTTAATATAAGGATTACTCCAAACATTTTTATAATATTACCAATTTCCTGCCTGTTGGTACTTATAGTTAACTAATAATTAAATCGCATGTAGGACAAGTTATTTTGATATCAGATCTACAGGTTTTTTCTACATTCTTTGAAAGCGTTTTAAAAGTCAAAATCTTGTGGACGCTCAGTTCAAAATATCAAATTCCTAGTACTGATAAAAAAAAACACGTGAGAATGGGACGCTCCTTATGGCGATGTAGATAATCAAGTTGTCTGGTCAACCTTATGGCGATGTTTGTAACCAAGTTGTCTGTTCAACCTTATGGCGATGTTGGTAATCAAGTTGTCTGGTCAATATTTATACAGTTTTCTACGTAAACGTTTTGCTCCATTATTTTGATAAGATGAGAAGTGTGGCCAATATTTGAGTTTTGACCTCAAATTATATTTTTTCAACTCAAACTAAACCTTTTGTCTTTTGGCACAAAGGTATATGTCATGTGGGTTTCACCTCTTTCATCAATTAATTCACCCTCATTTCTGAATCCTAAGGTCTAATAGAAAATGTCTCAAAGGTGCACTCTGATGGTTTTTACTCATTGTAGTTTTCTTGTCTGTGCTTTTATGGATGTACTGGTTAAGAGTGAGTATGAGCATCTGGAGAATTCAATCCGCCAGTCTGGTCTATGAAGCCATTATATGTAACTGTTCGTTTCCTTATAAAGTTTTTATCATTTTAGAAACTAAGAAGTAACTATTCTGTCCATTATTTAGCAAGTTTATACCATTTAATAGTATCTACCTTGTAATATTAGTCAGAGACTATAGGGAATTTTTCTCTATTCTTATATAGTACCAGCTCGAAATTTTACTTGAACACAAAAAGGTGACTTAAACATTTCTACATTTCCTTCAATTTACATACTCTATATTAACATGTGACCTGTTATGCATTATAACTGAGAAATGACCCTGAAGAGGAAAATAACGTTGATTATTCAAACATGAAAAGAGGTCAAAGTCTGATAACTACTGCAGCTGTACATGTACACCATGCCTTGTAACAATTCTATAGACCAAATATAAATGACCTCTAACTTATTTGACCGGACTATGAAAACTTGACTGTAGAAGTTACATTACAAAAAAATCAAAGAGCTTAAAGAATTTAAAACCATAAGCTATCCATATCTACAATATATGGATGTTAAAGCTCCTGTGCTGTCTTATATTAAGTTTTTAACAATCAGTTGACAATGTTGCTGCCACAGGATTGGCATATCTTGCATTCTGCAACTTGGACACAGGCAAAACTTTTCTGGTTTTCCAATCGTTTTGTCATGCCAATAAATTAAGTATTTTTACATTTATTCTGACAAAAACTATAAATCCTATATATGCATTGAATATCTGATTTACACTAATGGACACCTTGTTGGTAAATCGTTCATGACATATCCTAGACACTCTTTATCAGGTAAGATTTCAAATGATATATGTATACAAAATCATGACAGCAGATTATGTAATACTTTGATTTAGGTTATCTTAAAGTAGTACTTTTTAAAATTCTCTGAAAAATCATCAATTAAAAAAAAAGAAATGATTAAATATCTGCATGGGACAAATTTAAAAAAACTGTCAGTGTTTCCTATACAATTATATAATAGTTCACACTTTATAGAACCACATTTCAATCATATGTTTCCAAAGTTAAAATTTAAACAGGTTTGTATTCCCATTTAACTAAGTATAATGTTATATTTTTTTTGTAATTGATGTGGTGCAAGTATATACACATTAAATCAATTTCTTATTCAGTATAGGCAGAGACATATATACACAGATGTCTCTGGTATAGGACAATGTACATTTTGGGAATAATTTGGCCCTGTTAATTTACATTTACTGAACTAATTATCAATCACATTCTTTAATCATCAGAGAAAGCTTTCAGAACAGGTGAACATTATCAAATATAAAAAGAAGGATGAGAATGATTACTAATGAAACAACTTTCCATCATACACCAAATGTTGTAAAAGTTAGCAATAAGAGATCACGTCACCTTAAAAAAATATATATATATGCTTGTTTCCTGCTTCCAAGTTGAAAAAAAAGGGTAGGAAGTTGGAAATTTATTTTCATTTTTATACTGACCGACTTTAGAAACGCAACACTAGATTATTCTTTTTAATTCCCATTTTCAAATATGCAATTTTTGTTTAACAAACTTATGAACAGAAATTTCTTTCATTACTTCATTGTTTTAAAAAAAATGGCAGTTCGAAAGTTGAATTGATTACGTCATTTTCAATGTTCAAATCATGTCGTTTACACTGAAACCCTGGTTTTCCCCTTACCAAAGAACGTGTCATCGTCAAAAGCAATGACTGCATGTAACAAACGCCAAAATTATTGTCAGAAAGGTCAACCAATTCTGTTCGGCATGTTTTGGGTTCTGTTTTGCACTTTCTGATTTTGCCGTTGTTCCATCCATTTCAATGGGTTTTGGCAATTATGCGGTTAAAACTTAAGGGGTTTAAATGTTTTTCTGCAGTCGATTCTTTGGCAGTTCAGTTTATGAAAAACATTTATGGCATGAATATGTGCGCAATGGCATTCGGCAATTTGATAAGCAGTTGACGTTGCGGCCGTAAACATGTCTCGCAAATGACGTTGCGAAATTAAATTCTATTGACGTTGCATTGTCAATACATGTTGATCTGGTCATTGATGGTCTTCAACAAATCCCGTCTACCTGTATCGTTGTCGGAAGGACAGTAAAAGAGTTTCTGGCGTCATATTGTCTGGTTGCAGCACGTTCACGTATTCCTGTTTGCAGTATTCTTATGGCCTGATTCAGTTTTTTATTCCTCAGTCTTGACAATATGAAGATGCAACATTTTTTAACTGATTTAAGTGTGGCCAAGGATTGAAAGAACTGTTTCACAAGGAAAAAAAACTGAAAAAATCTTTTATGGGTTCCAAATTTGCTTTAAGAAATTCGTGCGACTTCAATAATCAGGTATGGTCAATAACCACAGGTAAGTCAGATGTTGATTTTTTCTAAGGAGAAAGAAGTATGGTAGGCATGAATAGTAGTTGTATGAGGATCAAATATGATTTGGTAAAAGAAATCAACAAAATGAGTGTTGCGTTTTTAAAGTCAGTCAGTATATTTAACTAGGATACGAGTAAATTTTAGAACAGGGGATATTCAAAACCAATACCAAAAGAGCATCACTGAACATTTCAGTAGAGAAGAAAGATACTTATTTGGCAATTGCCTGATTCAGTGGTTGACATTTAGCCCAAATCTCCAAATGGGGTTAACTCATGTTAGATAACAGGCTTAAAAGTGTATACGCCAGCTGCACATTTCGTCTACAAAAGACTCATCAGTGACGCCTGCTGATATAAACCTATGACATAAGTTTCATAAAATTCTGGCTAGAATTGTACACATGAGAGCACTAACAATGCAATTTTCCATATAATTAATGTTTCCAAGGGGCATAACTCTTAAAAATAATTGATCGGCACTGATACGCCCGTCGTCTTGTGTGTGAAGTTTTATGCAATAAGCATAAAAAGTTTCTGACATACGGCGTGACATGTGAAAACCCCCCCTTTTTTTTTTACAAAAAACTCAATATCTCTAAAATAAAATTTTGAATCAAAACCAAAGTTTACAGATCTTTAGATTAATATAACTAAGAAGTGTGTAAAATTTTAAGCAATAATCATAAATCGTTTTTGAGATACGGCGCGACATGTGAAAAACTCCTCCCCCTTTTTTAACAAAATACTCAATATCTCTAAAATAAAATTTTGAATCATCACCAAAAAGTATACAGATCTTAAGATTAATATAACTAAGAAGTGTGTAAAGTTTTAAGCAATAATCATAAATTGTTTTTGAGATACGGCGCGACATGTGAAAAAAAACACACACCTGTTTTAGTTACTAAGTCCCGTATCTCAAAAAGTTTTAATTTTATTTTCACCAAAAAGTATACAGATCGTTTGACCATCATAAGAAACAACTATGTTAAGTTTCATGAAATTTGGATAAGTCATTCTCAAGGTACGGTGCGACATGTTTACGCCGGACAGACAGACGGACAGACAGACAGACAGACGGACAGACAGACAGACAGACAGACGGACAGACAGACAGACGGACAGACAGACGGACAGACAGACAGACAGACGGACGGACGGACGGATGGACGGACGCTGGACATTTGTATAACATAATACGTCCCGTCAAAAATTTGACGGGCGTATAATAATTGATCGGCACTGATTTTCGAACTCGTCCTAGACATTGCTGATATAAACCTATGATATACGTTTCATAAAAATCTGGCAAGGATTGTACACGTGAGAAGAGCTAACAAGACCGGACGGACGGACGCGTTGTGCGGGTGACAATAAAATGCCCCGCGAGGGACAGCTTGTTACGACCGTAGATGTCGAACCCTGAATAGTTGGGGCAGGTATGGACACTATATTCAAGCTTGATACAGCTCTAAAATTGAATTGGGATTAAATATTTAACACAGCATAGGTTTCTGACACCGAAAGGATGTGGTGAAAGAACTAAAAAAATTTGAAATTGGACTTTTACATGGTCACAATATCCAAAATCTAAATACATAGTTAGATTCAGCATATCTAAGAACCCCAAGAATTTATTTTTTGATGAAATCAAACAAAGTTTAATTTGGGACCCTTTGGACCAATTTGATA